TGGAGAATGCCAACGCTTAATTAAGTTATTGAGTGGAATTCTGCATATTAAACTGGAATAAATATTTATTTTGTGTTTTTGAAATGGTGTAAAATAAATATGAAACAAAAGTAAAAGAAATATCGAATATTAATTAAATTTGCTTGCTTTTCTCAGATAGTTGGCTCACCGTTCTTGAACTGTATATGATTTTATACACTTGAATGGACTCCCCAAACGCTTGAAATCTGATTTATCAAATTCAAACACAAACCAACTCTTTAGCTTTGCCTTCAAGGCATATTTTAAAACATTTTGTATTCAAATGCCGTAACTCACAGGAACTGTACACATCCTAGCCCAAATCAATCCCCACAAAATCTACACATACACACACTTAATAGGCTTGTTAAAATTCATCCCTGCCCATCTACACAATCGAAAATCATAAAATAAATATATATATTTGATTTTCAATCAAATACCACACATTCTACGCACCTCATTCCCCCCAATTGCCCCACCCAATTGGAACACATTTCTATAGCATACATTTTGGCTGATTGTTTGGAGCACTTTTTGATTGTCGTTGCTTGTTGCTCTGTGCTCTGTGCAGCTAAGCAGAAGCATTCTTAGCACTTTACTTGGCTTATTGTACACACTCCACCCCTTCTACCCATCCCCTGCCCAAGACACAACTTACAGTTGTTAACTTACTTAGACATGGTCCGAAAGGCATCGGAAAAGAAAAGAGTACGGCTATGATTACTGAATTTTAATTGCTGTGGAGCCTTTTATGTAAGGATTCGCTTCTGCCTTTCGCACTCGCATTTATTGCTCCAAAGAAGAAAAAGACACTTAACGCAACCAAGTATGGAATGCCCTTAGCTGTTTCAATTGTTTGCTCCCTAAGCCGAGGCATGTGCTTGACTCAAGATACCCTCCCACCTGCTCCACACGCCCACCTGAACATAACCCATTTCGTCGCCTGTTTTTTGCGCACAATTACGCAACAATAAGTACAAAAGCAACAACAATTAAAAATAAATAAGCAGAAATGCGGAAATTAACTTGCAGATACCCTCTAGGGAGCTTTTAATGAGTTACAAATGAGGTGTATATATTTATACACATATTAGATACTCAGATACTTAGTTTCCCTTGCTTCCAAAGTATTTATAAAAAGCTAACAGCTTTTAAAATATGTAAATATATGACAGTTTGCCAGCTGCTGTCTCATCATGCCCCATTAAACACACATGTCTATATCGAGGGTATCAGAATGGCAGCAGCAGTGGAAACGCAAGCGTTTGCCGTAATCAGAAAGACGTAAAAATTTCTACGAGTAAGGTAACGAAAATATTTGAAATTGCTTCTTGCTTTTTGCCCATAACCTTTCACTTGGCCTCAACCCCTCCCTCCCCTTTCACTTCACTCCCATTTGCCTGTCTCCGCTTTGGACTTGCCGCTTTTCCCTCTCTTCTCCCCGCTCGTCTTTCACCTTTTGCTTTGGCATTCCGTCTGCTCTAATGGCATAAATTTGGGCAAAGCGTCGCTTCTCGCCTGTATTTTGTAGGTTTATTTCGCCCTTAGCTCTTAACGACAAAGTAGACGACAAACACGTCGCTCTTGACAATTTTCCCCCTTCTCTCTCTCTCTCTCTCTCTCTCTATTTTACAGTCTCCATCTCGTACTTTATTTAATTCTTTCGTCTTCTGCATTTTTGGTTGAGGAATTCGTTGCTTGATAAGGTTAATTGCCCATTTCTATGGTTGTTGGTAAATTTCTGCTTGTTATTCACGATTTTGTTAGCCATTTTTTTATTTTGGTTTGTTGTCTGGCAGCCATATATCGAATTCTGATTTAATGCCTCCGCTACACCCCCACCCCTGCCACTGACACATTACTCGAATATTTTGCACAGCAGGCGACAAAAAAATGAAGAAAAAAAAACATGGGACATGTGATACAGGTCAGCTGCCCAGCAGCGGGAGATACAAAAAATAATAAAATATGAAATATTTGTTGTCAGGAGCAGCAGCAGCAGGAGATATCCTTGCCAATGTGTATTCAATTTCATCTCATTATGCCGGAGCTTATGGCTGAAATGCTTCCACATCTTATATAAATCTATATTTATATATATTTAGATATAGGCATCTAATGGACTAGGCCAATGAATACACTTAGTTTAAGCACTAAAGTAGCTTTTACGCTTACAAAGGCCAATTTTGTTGCTTCGCAATTGATAAAGCCATTATTCGTTTTATGTCTTATTATAATTATGTTTGGCAATAAATTTAATTTTAGTTAGCAATCCAACTTATTCCTATTACGCAGAGATACTCGTATATATTATGTGTCTTTCTCTTTATTATAGGGAATCATACCGGAAACGGAACCAGAATCGGAATGTCGAAATGGTAAACATCAAGTTACCTGTACGTAACCGAATACCGAAAACAAGCTTTACGAAATACAGAAATCTCTACCGGAATTTGTATACTTTACGTATCAGAATCGAAATCGACACCTAAATTCACTTCGGTTTGACGCTGTGGTTTCTATTTTTATTTTTACTTGATTATAAATCAAATTTTAGTTGGTAATCTCATTTATCAAACTTATTACAAGCGAGCAGATGACGAATTAGTTGATGTAACTTAACTCTACCTTCTCTTTATTATTCTCAGCTCCCATTTTAGTTTGTTATTCGTAAAAACCAGCTCATTTCGCATTTAGTTGTCAAAAGACTGTAATTAGCACTTGACACCCTCAGTAAGCTTCTAATTTTTACTCTCTGCTTGTTTTTATGTTACTTCTGTGCCCTTATTAGATTGCTGTATACAAAAACTTTCAACTATTTGGGACCTCAACACCTAAGGGAAAAAGTTTTAACAGGGAAACTATTTCAAGCTGTTGTTATATGTGTGTGTGTCTGGGTGTGTTTGTGTGTGTTAGTTTGTGGTTGTGTGTTTCTGTCGTTGGTGCAGCTGACCGCAAAAGCCACAACAAACAAATGTAATAAAAATAAATATAAAAATAATTATGAGTAGAAAAGTTGGCAGCAACAAACAACATTCGTTCTCTTTTACTTATTTTTGTAGCTGTTTATGATCTCAGCTCAAATTAGAAAACTGCTTGTATCAAGAACAAAAACAACAAGGATCATACCGCGAAGATACTTGAAAGTGGTTTTAATGAAATGTCCACTTTGAAGTTGGCCATTTGAAGTAGCCCTTTGCCAGGTCGAAAGCAGGTCGAACAATAAAACACACAAGTTCCCGAGGGAAACGGAAGTAAAACAAAAAAAATTATGATAAGGACACAATAAAAAAAAGGGGGGAAAAGAGGAAGGGAGTAGGATTGAAAGGCGGCTTCTTATCGGGAGCGCTGCTGGACAGTCATTAAAATGGAGCTCTCTAAAATTATGCAGTCAAAAAAAAAAAAGTGAAAAAGAAAAATGGGGTAAAATATGTTGCTGATGTTAAGTGCTTCATTTAATTAACAAAAAGTTGACATGAAAGCGTGGCGGGCGCCTTTGGGGAAAACCCCCCGCAAGCCCGTCCGCAACCCAACCTTGCAATTAAAATGGTTTTCTGTCCTTGCAACCTCTTCTTGAGTTGCTTTGTTTCTTTTGTTTCTTAATTGTTTGTGTGTGCGTGTGTGTGTGTGTGTGTGTGTGTGAGCAGACAGCACGTGGTGTATACGTATTATGATATTTCCACATATTAAGCATACGCCAGGTGTGTCAGCTGTTTGGTTAATTTGATTCGAGATACGTATCTGTTATGACTTTCGATTTTTCATTTGTTTTGGGTATTTCTCTCAACTACGCAACAAAAAGCAAACACACTAAAAGGTGACATATTGAAGTACGCCGTTTCATTAATTGCTGGGCACAGTTTATTACACAACATCGTCCCCCCCTGCTTCCTACCTCACTTTGCAACGCCGACGGCTTTGGTATCTCCGAGCAACAATCTGTGGGAAGAACAGCTGTAAAAATTCACAGACGCACATAAAAGTTGGCAACAGCAAATCGCATTTGACACGTGTGCGTAGTTTGGCATTGGTATATTTATAGTCGTATATATATGTATATATATATATTTGATCTGTTATCTGAATAAGTCGTATAAGCAATTGATATTTGCTTTTCATCGCTTGCACAAATATGCCGTCGAGATTCGTATTTTGGCCATTTTTGCGTTTGTTGATCCACATGAATGGCAAATGGAATGTGCGAAAATAACAAAAAATATTTACAGACAAAACATCAACGAATATGTTGTAAAAACTTTGTTTGCTTTAGTATGCAAATTAAGTTATAGAAAGTAAGAAAACAAAATTGATTTGAGTTGAAGACTTAACGATAGAGAAAGAAATATAAATTAATGAGAATTAATTCTTGATTATTGACACATTTTATGCTATTGAGAAATACAGTTATTTTTCAAATTTAAATTCAAATTGAATTAAAAAAGCTTTTACAAATGTCAAGCCAGACAGTAATAATTCACTTATAAACAAGCATATTTATAATAAAACATAAAAGAAAATTGGATTTATTCATTTCTAAGCAACAAAAATAAATTGAACCAATCAAAATGAATATCAAACAATTTGCCAAATAAATAATTTGTAAATTGAAATGACTAATAAACAATGTTGTTAGTCGCAATTACAAATAATGTACCAGAAATTATTTATCATATTGCCTAATAGAAATATAATAATTGATAACAAAATTGAAAAACTAATTGACATTTAATTTTGTATGCCACACCAAGCCATAATTATTGAAAATCCTGATAAATACAACCAGCATAAGTGCTTTGTGAATAATGAAAGCAATTTAATCCATATTTATGAACACCAACGCATTTTCAATAATTAATGAAAAAATGGAGAAAAAAGCGCTTGTCATTTATGTGTTTAATAAAGCAGTAAAATACATAATAAATTTGTCAGCTAGTTGGGGAAATGAATTATGTGGCCAAGGACTAGCAGGAACTCACCTGTCAATGTGGAAATCCCCAGCTGCAATTATTTTACACTTGAAATTAATAAAGTTTTCTTTTTTCATTCAAGTGTCGAAGGATTTCCCTTGTTATAATATTTATTCAAGCATAATCATTTTCTTTTTCTCTTTTTGTGCACTTTTTTGACCTCGATTCTATTTTACTTTTTTATTTATTTTTTGCTGGCAGCTAGAGCAGCAGGGAAAACACATTTAAAGGCATATTTAATGTGGCATGGCGATGCGATCTTAAAACCAATAGGTATGTTGCACCCTTGTGACGCCTTGAGCGTCCTCCATGCAACAGTTGCCAAATGACTTTTACGTTTTATGGCGGGGAGAGTAAAAAAATTACAAAAATAGAATAGAATTTAAATTGGAGACCGCGCAACAGTTTGCATTTATGTGTTGAACCATTGACCAATTGGCCACTTGGCCAGCTTCGCTCTTGGCCATTTGGCTGCACATGCAATTTGCTTTTAATTGTTTTTTCCGTCGCTGCTGCTGCAATTGAATTTATTTCAATTTCGACTTTAGTTTCACATTTTCCTTTTTATTTCACACAACGCGCACTTTTCTGCTTCACTCTTTTAGTCGCTTATTGACAAACTTGAGCAGAGTCCCGTTATCTGTTTGCCGTTGCTGCTGCTTACACTGTAAACTTATTGGAGCTGTTGATTCATCTGCTATAGGTCTTCTTCTTCGTGCTTGCTGAAGTGCAACCTTCTGCGACGCCTGCCAACTGCGAACTGAATTGCTCCAGTTTCGTATTTCACCTTATAAAGTGTGCTACGCGCTGTTGCTGCTCCCGTGTTATCCTTACCAGCGACTCCCGACTGGTTGTTGCCTGTCTGCTTCCAGCTTGTGCTGTTGCTTTGATAAGAACCTGCCTTGGTGTGCGTGTGTGTGTCTGTGTCAGGCGAGAGCGCCACTGAGAGAGCATGAGTTTGACTCGGAAAGAGCGTAGCTATTGGAAAGTCAGAGCGCAAAATTAGTTGTTGTTGGTTTGTTTCTCTTTGCCAAGCTTTACCGTCAAGTTCAGTTTAACGGTTAGCAATTTCAGATTTGAATAGCGAAATTCCTAAGACGATTGTCTAACGCTTTGATTATAATTCTCATTTAAATTGATGTACATCATTTTAACTTTTATAAGTACTTTTTACATAGTTTTAAATACATTTTTTTTATTATCATTTTATACATTATTTAAAATTGACTCTCTAAAATGATTTTATATTTTAGCACTCCTTTCACAATTTTAGTTTATTTTCCATTATTTAATGTGCAACTTCACATATCATTTATTTTGATGGAAGGCAACACTATTACATTAATTCCACAACCACCTCCTCGCACACCAACACACACTGTCGCACACCAACACACACACAAACGCACACGCAGAGATGCCTACGCAGTTTGGGTGTGTGCTTTCATGAATGAACACCCTCCTGTTGCATTTGTTTTTATTGTAGCCTCCGCGCCATTTGGGCAGCCCGTCACAGGCACCCGCTCACCATCAGCTCGCCTCTGACCATGAAGTTCAAGATGAAGGTTAGGACAGCAAAAAAAACACCAACAACAAAACTAATAAAATTGTAACGGAACTTTAAGAGAGAGCGTAAAAGCTTTCGCTCTCCTGTGTTAGTTACGAGCGCTCTCCCGCGCTCACTCTCTCTATTGCTCGCTCGCTCGCTCTTACTCTCTCCGCCAGTTCGCGCGACATTCGCGTCGAATTGTTTTGTTTGTTTTCTGCGCTATCGCGCGCTCCCCGCTTTACACACAAAAAATTATACTACAGATTTTGGGATGGGTCGCGGATGGGGCAGGGGGAGGAGAAACAATGGCGCTTAGCTGGCACACTTGCTGCTTTTGGGCTGCTCGCTGCCTGCTGCATTGTGTGACGTACCATCCCAGCCCAACACACACGCTTGCTTTCGCTGCTACGCATATCGCTGACCGACCGACCGTATTTTCTTCTATCTGCGCCCGCCTTCTGACCCAATTTCGAGCCTTCACGTATACGGCGCTCAGCAGCTGTAAGCAGCAACAGCTGCTGTAAAAGCAGCAGCAGCAGCAGCAACAAACTGAGAGGCATGCCTGGCATTAAAGGCATTTGATGTGCCCACAGATTTTACACTCATTCCTTGCGCTTGATTGGCTTTGTACTTTTTGTGTGCCATCCACATTTTGAGCCTGAAACGTGGGACTTATAATGGAGCATATACAGTGGAAGCAAATATCTAATAACAGTAGGAATGTAGTACAGGCCACTAGTGTTGTAAAACTGTCCTACATCTGTAACATTAGGACTACATTGAACGTTATCGATATCGATAATGCGATCAGCAGCTTGATCGTTACATTTAAAGTGATGTGAAAGAACTATTTAATTTAAGTTCATAGAACTTATAAAAATAAAAATTGTGGTTTTGGGATCTGCCAAATACTGCTTATATTTGCTGTAACCAGTGTAACAGGTAACACACACACATATTTGCATAGTGCATGAGGGCGTGCAATGTTGCGTATGCTTGATGTTCTCGCAGCCTGCCAATTACTTGTCAACATGTCGCGCTCCAGCAGCCAAGCAACTAACTGTGATTGATTGTGTGTACGTGTAACACTCTCCTCTCTTTGAGAGTGTTCGTGTGTGTTTGTGTGTGTTGTCATAGAACAACTGAAAGCAGCTAAAAGTGCAGTCTGTCAGCCAAGCAACAGAAACAAAAATAAAACACCAACAAAATATGTTGTTTGTTTGTTTTCCATTTTGCTGTGACATTTGAGCAGACAACACTGCTTGAAATTGAGTCCGTTCGAGCAGGCGACAAGTGCTGCAAATATCCAAGCAGGATTAAAACTAAGTAACTAGCATGCCCAACGAATATAATCAAAGTTTTTTTTTGGCCTGGCGTCTTTTTCTTAATTTGAGTTGGCCCAAGTCAATCATGTGAACTTTAGAACTTTGATTGGCTGTCACACACACACACAAACTGAGACAACACACAACCATTCACACACACAAGTAGATCTATATTTAGCTGAGTAGTTTGTTTGTACTTGGCCCGAGCTGAGAGCTCTTTGGCTCAGTGGCATTTTGGCGTCTCATTAAAAGCATAATCCAAGCAACAGTAACTTAATTTGTGCTCGACTACAAATGCCAGGATATTTCAGCAAATTTACTTCAGACTGACTTTAAGTGCATTCGTTTCCATTTCAGTGCAGGCTGCAGCGAGTCCTTTTTAAGCTGATAAGCCAACTTTCCAGGTGTATTTGCTCCTTCTGCTGGCTTAGGCAAATGCAAATGAAATGGCTGCAGAAACACAATGTCAGCTATTTAAAAGCCAATGACAAAGAAGGACTACTACAAATTACACTCAGAGAAAAGTATGTACTAGAATTGAATTAGTGCAACTTTTTATAAAGTCATAGAAGGAAAATGTCATGTTTAATTCTACGTGCTAAAAATTTGTTGTATTTTACAAAATATACGTTGAAAGTATAGCGATTTTCTAAATTCTAGCTAGTGTATTTTCTGAGTGTATCGCTACAAATCACTGTTACTAATTATACTTTCATTTTGTCCCTTCATTTTTTCCGGTTTTACGCAATCTAATCAGTTTTGGACGGGGGACTGGCTTTCAAGTAAAAACCAAAACAAAATGGCAATGTTCCATGAACACGCAACGAAAAAAAAATAAATAAAAGACAAAATTCTAAATAAACGAAGAAAAACCGCAACAACAAAAAAACCATGTGGTGCTGGTGAATTTGTTGGTGTTTGTGGCTATGGCCATTATCACAAACACAGCACAGCACACACATTAATAAATCAGGTCAAAGTTTAAACGGGTTTTCACTCCTCAGCGATGCGCGCGTGAAAACAAAGCTAAAAGCCAAAAAGCCGATAAAGCTTTAAATTTGTTAGCAAACATAACTAATGGAAATTAAGCTCTGAATAACAAATTTTCTTTCTCCAAAACTAGTTGTTGCGTAACTTTGTAAAAAGGATCAAATAACACTCTGAAGATTGATACGATTTTCAAAAAACCAGGACTTGCTGATCATGTCTAAGCCTCCAGATGAATACTACATTCAAAGATGCAAACAGAACTCTAGCTTGAAATTCATGTTAAAATACAAAGAAATGAATAGTTAAGAAATGGTTCAATCTGTCAGCTTCAACTTCAGCTATACGATATTAATGGCTGTTCTGTAAGACACTTTCACTCATTTCGCTCACGCTACCATCTCTAAATAAACGAAATGAAAAAAGTGTAGCATAGTTTAGTGCGCTGGCTTTTAATGTGTTGCGACAATTTTAGCTGCGTGGCGATAAAGCGACTCGATAGCAGACATGGACCACGCCCCTGAATTTGAGGGAGGTAGGGAGGGAGATGGGGTGTAAATAAGTTGTTGTTGTTGTTTATTTGTCTACTGTTACTTTCAAGGGTGTGACCGCATTTGCACTCAGGTGCCGAGCCGAGCCGAGCTGAACTGAACGTGAACTTAGCTGAATTGAGCTGAGCTGAGCTGAGGTCGGTCACGAAGACGTCGCCTTGAATTACTTTTGCTGTCCGTCTCTCCTTGTGTCTCGGTTTAATTAAAGTTTAGTTTCACTTGAAATTTTCGTTGCTCCATATTATTGCTTTATTTACTGAAGCGTAGCCAGAACACGCCCATCCCCTTCACAATTGAGTAATTTATACTTGGAAGCACTGCAGCAAATGTTGAGTGTGGGTGTGTGCCACGTGGCGTATGCGTGTTATTTTGCAACGCCTGCAATTTTCTATGCGACTTTTATTATATATTGTATTTATTATTCATTAATTTACAAACGAAAATCGAAGAACCTTTGTAATCACATTTGTCTTCTTCTTTTATTCCGTTTTCATTTGGTTATTTTGTCTGGCAAGTTTTGACACGTAAATCAATTAAGCAACGGTTCAAGCTAACTTATTGAATGACATAAAAAGCCTCGCTCAGGTTTCTAGACAAAAAAAAGCAATAGAGTTCAGATTGCTCGAAAGGGTCGATACTCTGTAAACAGCTAGAAAATGAATTCACTTAACAAAAGCAAATAAATCAGCGAAAGAAAGTAAGAAAAATAATGAAAAAAGCGCGAGAAAATTATCAAGTGACAACGAGAGCAAGAGAAAATGAGCAGCCAGAACTTTTCAATGGCTATTATAAACTTTAACAGCTCCTTCAAACCCATTCTAGCCATTCTCTCAATGAGTGCAGAGCATTCAAAAAGCACCATTTCGCCGAGCTCTCCGAACATAAAGAATAGATTTGTTTCAGACTGGAAGCAGGCAAATAATGAGTCGCGACGCTAACAAATTTGCCTAAAACTTGTTGTAAGAATATATATTGCAAAACGGCGACTTTTAAACATAAATGAAGTATATATATATATAAATATATATTTATATATATCGCCACACCCACACAAAGCAGTCCAATTTGAAATTGGGCACAAGGACGCTGCTAATCAAATTGTGTGTGTTTGTTTGGCCTTTATCTAGTTGAGGGACAGCTCCCAGTTTTCCATTTTCCAATTTGCGCGGGCTTGCGTGTGTTCACATACACACACATACACATACACACACATACACATACACACACACACATACACACAAAATGATGATCGATGCGCTTGGCCAATGGCAGGCAGAAATTATGGCAACTGATAGCAAAACACGCGAATCATTTTTTCTTTTCTCTCTTTGTTTTCAACCATTTTATGCCATTTGCATGGGAATTGACCATTTTCATTAAATTTATTGAGTAATTGCATTCGCACTAAACTAATGAAAGGCGCTCAAATGCCAAATAAAATGCCAAATTTATCACGCGTCAAAAGCGGCGCTTGAATAATGAAAACAATATTCGAAACTAAATCAATGTCACACAAACAAAGTATGGTTCAAAACGCGTGAAAATGTTATTGAAATTCTTAGCTAAACTATTTGCCGGTTAACTCTTTAAATGGTTAATTGCGGCTGTTGAAAAACTTTGCAATTAACGCCAGCTAAAAGTTAAGTGCCAAATTGCTAAAGTGCTTATTTTGGCAAAAACAAAATTTTGTGTAATTAGGGCTTGTAGCAATCAAACACACATATATATATATATATATATATACACTCACCTAAAAAGATATATCAGGTCTTGTGTGCTTAACATTATTACAAAGTAACTTTTATCTGTGCATTAATCAGCTCATGTTTCCTGAGCGAAACTACTTTAAAATAAAAAGAAAATCCTACTTGAGCAAAAAACAAAGTTTGCCATTTAATTTTTTGGTACTTACAGAAACAGTTCTTCATAAAAAAAGATATAGTTTGCAGGCTTGAACTTTATTTAAGTACAAACTATTTTACAATTTTTACAGTCGAACAAAAAGTTCTAAAAAGTTTAGTTTTCTAACTTATACTCCATATACGTAGAAAATAATCGCATTTTTTGTTAAGTGTAGTTATACACACTGGGCACATTAAAAGCACTTAACTTCACTTGTTTTTACGTTATTGTATTGGCCAAAGTTATGCTCAGCCAATTAGTTGCCACAACAGACTCGTTCGGCTGGTTGAATGTACACTTTTGTTGAGAACCTTGAACAACTGTTGCTTGCTCAAAGGATATCCCGAGCATTCTGTATGCCATACAATGCAGCACACACACACACACACACACACATGCACACACAGAAATAATTGTGTGTGCCTTGCATAATCGCCAACGTAAGCAACAAAGGCAAACACGGAAACAACTTGTTGCAACGACGACAACAACAACGGCAACAAAAAACAACAAACACATGTTTGTGTGTAGGTGCGGATGTGAGTGTTTGTGGGTGTTTGTGTGTGTAGGGACAGGTGTGCGAGCGCCACTCAACAAACGTTATAAATAATTTATTTTGTTTGCAAAGCAATGTGTAAAAAATTCATTCCTCTCCGGACTTGTGTGCATTTCGAGCTGGCGACTGTTGCTCAAAAGCAACCCAAAAATATATTTGAAATGTACTTGGCTTTAAGCAAGCAATATCAATTTAAACTAAGGTCAAAGCTCTTCAACTCGAACCATTGAATGTCAAGAAAAAGGGTGGACTTTCAGACACTTTCATTTAAAATACAAATAGAGACAGCTTTATAAATTTTAGAATATATAAGTTGCATGCTATTTTCATATTTTATATTTATTAAAGTTCTTAGTTTACAGCTGCTTAAAATATATATATATATATATATATATATATATACTATATATCAGCGAGCTTAAACTAAAAGCCACAAGTAGTAAGAAGGGTTGTCTTAGGCATGCCGAAAATTGTTCATCCCTATTGACTGTACTTTATCAGCAGCGATTCAGAATTAAAATTAGATATATTATTATTTAATATTTGACGACTGTCTATAACTACTACTACTACTTCTTTCGTCCATGCTTCACGTAGCTGACCAGCAGCATGTTGCACAGCGGCTCTTCCTTCATAAAATGCTATTTTGAGTAGAGAAATTTAGCATGGATGGATGGATATGGATCCGGCATATATTTCCAATATACTGACTGCCCCAATCTCTAGGCACACCCCAAAGACAAGTTCAGGACAAAACTGAACCTATTTTCTAAGGCTAAACACTCGAGTGATTCTCAGACCAAGCCCGGATGCATAATTTATAAATGTGCCGTCTGGCGATGGAATCTGTCCGGACGTAGCATTTTGATTGGATGACTCAATGGATTTAGATGGATTGTTGCTTCCCTTGCTGGAGTTGTAGCTGCTGTCGTCACTCGGAGCCACTACAGCGTTGCTATCCACGTTCAATTCTGTAACCGGTCGCTTCGCAGTCGGCAACTGTTGTTGCCGCTGCTGCTGCTGCTGCACCAACAGCTTGACTGGCGTGTTGCGCTGGCGCTTATTGACAATTGCAGCTGTAGCTGGAGCCTCCTCTAGTCTCGCCAATATGCGCTTTTTGCACGCGACTTGTTCCTCGTTGAGCGACAGATTGGACACACGTCGACATCGCTTGCCATTGACTATATTACGCACAGAGTTTCTGCCACTGTCATCAACAGTTGCCAACGTCTTTTTCTCAGCTGCTTCTTTAGACTTTTGCCTATCAGGCAACTGCTCTGCATTTTCCAGCTCATCATCCACATCCATTCGTTGCTCGAACGTTGATAGTGTTGGATTTTGATAGGTATATTTCCTGCCACGCGGATCATTGCAATTGCTGCCATGCAGCGCGACCAACTTCTTGCCGTCAACATTGTCCGTCTCCGCAATAGCTGAAGAATCACCTGAAAAAGTTGTCACTGGCTGTGACGGTGGATTCAATCTGCGCTGAAAAATTGAAGGGATACAGTTGGCTTCTGAGTTGCTAATAGTTGTTGCTATTGTGTAAGGATTGGATCTGCGATCATCAGAATGATCCTTCTTCGCAATAACTGCAGACTCAGCAGTCAAAGGATTGGTTCTTACTGTTGTTGTTATTGGGAATTGTGGTGGAGATGGATTGAATCTGCGCTCTCCCTCGATGGTAGATTGCAAATCAGTTGGATCCGGAGTGTCGTCAATGACAATAACCTCGTCATCCAGCAGCTGGAATTTATATAGAATTATTTGAAGATAGTAAAAACGTTTTGCTTCTTGACTTCCAACATACGGCTCTGGTTAACTTAGAATGATCCTTCTTCGCAATAACTGCAGACTCAGCAGTCAAAGGATTGGTTCTTACTGTTGTTGCTATTGGGAATTGTGGTGGAGATGGATTGAATCTGTGCTCTCCCTCGATGGTAGATTGCAAGTCAGTTTGATCCGGAGTGTCGTCAATGACAATAACCTCGTCATCCAGCAGCTGGAACTGATATGGAATTAGTTTAAAAACCTTTCCATCGCGTAATGACTTATCTTACAGATACGAATTTTTCCTTGATGTTATTTAACACGCGCATAATTTTATCCAACTTATTCCCCTGAAACTGACATGAAAAGTCCGAGGTGCCCAATCTAAAATCGAAAGGTTTGATTATGGGTGATATTATAGGATGGTTATTGTTTGCTACTTGGATTCAAGCATCTTTAGGAGACATTCCAGCTTTTGGCATTGCTCCTCAGGAAAACGGCTGCCATAGATCAGAAACATTTTCCTAACAAGGGACACGGAATCGCGCAGCTTGGCAATACTATGATCATTATCATTCTTCTCGTCTCGGATGATCTGCTCTTCTACATTAGCTGGATAATCCATTTATAATTTATTATTAAACAGGTAATCAAACCTGAAATGAAGAAATTAATCAAATTACTTATATATCTTAAAGCTGTTTAGGGGAAAAACAATGCCTAACGGAAAACAAACAAATGGGGAAGTGGGTGTGTGTGTGGGTTTGTATGCTGTGTGTGTGAGTGGGTGTGTGTGAGTCTGTTTGTGGGTGTGTGTGTGTGGCACTGATAATTGAAATGCTGTTGCACACTGCGAGTGCCCTGCTGACGTTTCCACTAAGCATACACAATCAGATATAGGGGCGGCCCAATACCGAAACACTCAAAAAAAAAAATACATATAAAGCTAGCGCACTGCCAAAAATAACAGTAATAATATGTAGCAGTGTTGTATTTGTGCAATGAAGTATTGCTGATCTGTAGCAGTTACTTTAAAAATACTTGTCGTGTAAGCCAGTCACAGTATGTGTAAAATTAAGCAGCTTACGCTGATGTTCAATCTGGAATTAATTCAAAATTGAACATTGAACATTTCTCACATTTCTCTCAGTACACAGCCAGGGGCCACCACCATGTTGTTAGAGGCCTGAAGCAAATCAAACGCAAGGACACCGACCGCCACAATTTCGAACAATGTAACAAGGGACGCCCAACAACAACAACAACAAAAACACACAGTACACCAAAGGCACTCCAAGGCAAAGCGCTTTCAATTTGCAATTTTCAAAACAGCTGGCAACGCTTGTTGCTGTTGTTGTTGTTGTTGCCATGACGTCCAGCGTGGCAGCGATAAGGCTTTTGCCTTTTGTTTTAACAGGCCGGCAGCATTGATATTGATGCTGCCCACTGCATGCTGAGCACTTTTAATGGACAGTCATTAGAAGCAATCCCAACTTTAGTGCCAACATTAAAAGCAAACAACAACAGCACAACGAAGTAGTTAACGTTATGTGCATGCTTAAGTATCAGTGCATAAATATGTATATGATGTAAGAGTATTTAAAATTAATCTAAAAAGCTTAAAACTATAAAAGCCAAGAGTTAATAAAACAAAATCATGTTTAACAACGGTTTTAATCACACTGCAAATGTGTAGAGATAGCTTTTATGTATGCGGTGTGGATAGTGGAGACTCCGATGGCAGATTGCAAACACCATTTTTCGGGATTCTAGTAATTATATTTTTTATGTAAGTAAATTTCGACAAAACAAGAATAAGACACTAATTGACAAGAAAATAGATATATTGTGCAGCTAATTTTCGTGTTCTGCTTTGATCGTTGCTGTAGAGGCGACTTACCGGGATCTAACAAAGCTTTGAGTGCCGTTATAAATGCAATGAAACTTACATAAACACATTTATATAATAATAATTTCATTTTTCAATTTAACAGACATACCTGTCACAAATGAAGAATGCCCGCACTACTCTGATCAGTAATAGTTACTTTTCAAATACTTATCGGTTAACCAGCTTAAACTGATCGTCATCTGCTCTTAGGCTTGCAATTCATTTCAGTTCATTATTATTATACCTCATAAAAACTTGGGCTATATATACAACCGGTAATGTATATTAGCGATCAATAGGTCTACAAACTCTGCAAGCAAGCGAACAACTCACATTTGTAAAATGCAGAAGTTAAATAACACTTAAAAAGTACTCGATACATATGAAAAACGGCCATAGTTAGTGCTGACATTGTGCATCTCTAATAGATATAGCCATCACGCTCACACACACGTGCTGCCATCTGATAATGGAAATCATTTGTTTATTTGTAAAATGCAACGATTTCTGCGCATATTTGGAGAACAAAAATGCAAAATAATTGGCATGATTCACGTGGATGCGCTGCCAGGTGAGCCCGCAGCAAAATCAAAAATTACATAAATATTAAAATATGAAATATGCATAAAAACAAGGCACGCCAAAATATGCCGGCAACTGGCAGCAGATAATTGAGAAGGCCAAATTCGAGGCTGATTTGTACAAGCGACACAAATTGGTATGATTTAAAAAGCAATAAAAATACTTATTAATCCTATAAGAACCACAACCAACTCGCAGGACGCCGTGCTGATTGAGAATATGCATGATATACCCTATGTGCAGGATCGCCTGCTGGGCGCAGAGATTGTCGCCTGCATGACGATCTTGTCGCAGACTGTGCGTCGCATCCTGCCCAAGGAGACACCCTGCGGCGTCCAGGTGCTCGCCTGTGGCAATCGCCAGGCACTAGCCATAGCCAAGGCCAGTCAGCTGCAGTTCATACGCGCCGAGGGCTTCGTCTATGGCCATGTTGCCGATGAAGGATATACGGATGCTTGTGCTGGGGATTTGCTACGTTATCGCAGGCAAATCGATGCCGATGATGTACTGATCTTTACTGATCTGAAGAAGAAGCACAGCTCGCATGCAATTACAGCAGATGTTAGCCTGTTGGAAACGGCGCACGCAGCGGAATTCTTTTTAACCGATGGCATAATCATCACAGGCACCGCCACAGGACACGCAACCAGTGCACAGGATGTGCAGCAGCTGGCGGGCAAACTGAAGGTGCCCCTAATCATTGGCTCCGGTGTAACCAAGGAAAACATAAAGGATTACTTTGATGCTGCCCAGGCGGTGATCATTGGCTCACACTTCAAGGAGAAGGGAAACTGGGCCAAGGATATCTGTGAGGATGCAGTGGAGCAGTTTACACGCGAGATCTGCGAACTGCGACTCAGACTAAAAGGATAAAATCCTATTTCTTTTGTAGCAAATGCTTTTTATTGTTAATATGAATGAATTGAAATGTGTATAATAATGAATTGTGCTTTAAATCTAGATGCTAGCAGAGATTGGACAACAAATCCAAGCTGTAGCTGGATACAACACTGTAATCCAATCCCTAGAGATTCTTAAACAAGTTGTTGATCTAATTCTAACAAAAATGTCAACAGAAAAAAAAGAAAAGAATCGTTGAGCAAATTTCTAGAAAAGATTGGCAAAAAACTCGTAGATGCGTTCGCGCAGCGTTGTGGTCTTAGTGACGCCATCATTGCTGCTGTTGGTCCCACTGCTCTCACTTGGGAATACAAAGGGCTTTGGCTCGTGCCTGTCCAGCATCGAATCGAATTTGACGCGCTTCTTCTGTGGCGGCGAGAACAATACATCTTCCTGGCTGCTGGCACCCTTCAGGGTTTGGGCTGGTGTTGTCCAGCCGCCGCTCTTCTGACTGCCGCCACTGGAGCGCAGTGGAAAGAGCACGTCCTGAAAGTTACCATTGCCCAGGTCTGCGTCGAAGAGATCCTCGCGCTTAATCGCAGTTGGAATTGTGTTATCCACATTGTGAGCACGAAAATATGACTTGGAATCGGAGTAGCGACTGGCGAAGCCATAGCTGGGATCAGCATCACTGGGCGTATTGGTGGTGGCTTTGGTGCGCTTGAGTATGCTGCGCACCTGGACGGCCTTGTCGCCAGTGGCAATCTTCTTGTACAGCTTCGAAATGCGATTCTCCTTGCTGGCCGCAAGCTGCTCCGCTGAGATCAGCGGGTGTCGCAGCTGCACGGCCGGTGGCGGCGGTGCAGGACGCTTGACGGTGGTGCTTGTCGAAGTGGATGAGGACGTCGTAGACGACGGCTTGACGCGATTGGATGCAGTGGGAATTTTGCGCTTGCGTGGAAAGCAAGCGTTTCCGTCATCCGCCTCCTCCTCGGAGTCCGTGGTGCGATTCTTGTTGCGAAAGACAGTCTCATATTCCTGTAAATCAAAGCCAATGATTAACTCATGCCCATTTTCAATCCAAGATTAGAGCTACTCACGCATTTGCGCTTGTTGTTGCTATTGGGACTCAGTACATAATCGGCGCCAAATTTCTTCATGTCCTTTTTGCGAATGGGCGTCCGTTTGCTCGAGTCCTTGCGCAACGTTTTGCGGCACTGCACATGCAGATCGATGGCGTCGCGTATGAAGCTCACCCAGGTGCGCGCCAATTGGATATCATCGCTGCCAAAGAGGATGCCATCACTCTGACACGATAACTTAAAGTTGCCCGGCAACATATCGTAAACTTTGCACTTCTTCAGCGGGAAAATGCAACAGCATTCGAGAGAGTTCTCCACCTGGGTGTTGGAGGCACGCTCTTTGATCACCTTGCAGTACATAAAGATGTCGGACATGAGCACGCAATAGCGCCTAATCTGCTGCCCCTTGTGCGTAATCTTGTAGAGCATGCCCTCCTTGATTACTCGACGCGATGGCTTCACAATGTTGGGTGTGCGATTCACCAGTGAATTCTGCAGATGTATCAAATATTGGGTGATCTCCTGATCCTCCACACAGGAATTGATGTGCGAGGCAGTCGCCTCGATCTCCTTGACGGATTCTGCCACGGGCCAATGGTTATAAAGACTATAATACAAAAGCAAAGATATTTTCGAACCTCACCCTTTAGGTGTTTATAGTCGGCATCCGCTGGACTGGTGTAGAGCAGGACCTGTTCCAGCAGCAGCTTGTAACGCGGCACACGCTGTATGGGCACAATCATCAATGAATTCAACTTCCTTTGCACCTCCGGACGACTTTCGGTCTCCTCCAGAAATTTACGAAAAACCGGATTTTTGCTCATCAAATCTTGCAGTATAAACAAGGCTCCGCGATAGTCAAAGGCATACACCGAGTACAGCTTGAAGAACGGGGCCATCTTCAAGAAAGCATATGCCACATTCTCCATGTTTGCCTCCAGTTCGCGCAGGAATTCGCCATTTAGATTGTGAATCATTTCGATTTGGCCAAAGAGCGCCGTGTGGTTGGCGGCATCTATGATGGCCTGCTCCTTGAGCGGACGCACAAAGTACTGCATAAGCAGCTCCAGCTGCTCCAAGTAGGACTTCTCCGACGTTATGATCTCCTGCACGGCCTGGCGACGGAAACCCAATCGTTTGCCTGCCTCCGGATTGGGTGAACCAATGGGACTGCTCGAATTGCTGTCCAGCATGGAGCAGACTGCGAGATAAACCCATAAAATAGATTAACTATCGTTGCCACGCCCCCTTTTCTCTCTCCTCCTTCCCCGCTTACCTTTTTTACGCGATTTGGCCGTCAAAAGATTTCGCTCCTGCAAAACCTGACGCAGCTCGCGACTGAAGCTCAGCGGTGTATGCGGCGAGCTGCCCACGGCCTGATTGTGGCTCTTATGTCTTGGCGTAAACATTTTCACTTAATTTTCTCAACGACGAAAAGTTAATGGAACGCGACGCCAACTGCAAGCAACACCTGCTGGCGGCTGGGTTTGAAAATTTCCATTCACTGCGAAGAGCAGGGCACCTTTTTCGTAGCTATCGATAATTCATATCAGTTTTTACTAGTTCAATGACTTTGCAGCCCTGCTGAGCAATGACCAATTTTTACTCATTCATTCCAGCTGCGTGAACAATTTTAACTTGTTCATTACTTTGGAAATCACAACAGTAATTGAGTAGTAGTTTAGTGAAGCTAATAATGTATATTAAACAATTTCTGTTTCTCATTTAGCATCGCAACAAGTGGAAAGTCACAGATATCGCTAGACTTTGCAGCCCTGTTGAGCAAACGAGATCGATACATCGCTACGTGAACAATTTTTACTCGTTCACTAGTTCGGAAAGCACAACTGCAGCCATGGTCGACGAGTGACTGCATCAACAATATTTATTTTTTTATACGTGTTCGTGGTTCATTTTTTGTTTTTCGCCTGTAATTTGAATGAGCTGCACGCAATGCACGCCAAGCTGAGTGAAATGGAAATGCGAGTTGCAGCGCGTCTCAACGAGACACTGGGCAAAGATGCCAATCAGCTGCATCGCGCTGCTTTCCTAGTCGAAAGCTACAAGCAGGAATTGAAAAGCATAAATCAAACTGTGAGTATGAATGAGGAAAGGAAAAAAGAAACATTGTGTCTGACTGTGTCTAGTTGACAGCTCAACTATGAGGAGCCGCAGAATGTGTCCAGCTACAAGTCGGCGCTCAACTGCCAGCAGCAGGTCTGCGAGAGCATCGACTTTGAGCTGGCGAAACTAGCCCAATTTCGCGAGAAACTAGAATCGAAGCTGGAGGATTGCCAGCCAGCATTACAGGGTATCGCGGAGGACCTGCAGCAGGTGCGTCAGCTTCAGAATGTGACGCAGTATTTGCGTCTCGTGCAGGACATCCAGGAGATTAGCACAGCGCTGAGCCAGTCCATCAATGGTAAGGATGAGGAGAAGCTGGTTAATCTCTATCTGACGCTCTACGAGGGCAATGATTGCGAGCACAGCGTTGTGGGTCGCTTACAGGCTGTGCAGGCACGCTCCCTGAAATCCTACGCAGAGACCACTGCCATCTATTGGCATAAATTGCTGCTGCAGCGCCTCTCCAGCGAATTTGAGGCGGTGCTCAAAGCGATGCGCTGGGCGCATCTGGAGCAGCAGCCCCTCAACTACTCACCCAGTCGAGACACTGCCAAGGCCCAGCTGCTCGCCGAGTACATCTTTCTAATTAAATCTCCCGCGGAGGAGCGTGCTCCACTGCAAAGGATTACGCCCAGCATTGCTTGTCCGCCGATTAGTCAGGTGGTCCAGTTGCTATTGGCACCATATCGCCAGCGTTTCATGTTCCATTTTATGGGCACGCGGCAAACAAATCGTTTGGACAAACCCGAATGGTTCTACACCCAAATCATCAACTGGGGCAAACAGACGCATTTCCTCGTTGGCAAAACATTTCAACCGGCCGCAATGAAAGCTGGCAAACTGGATTACAATTTGAGGGTGAGTTGAGCACAGGATTTATGCCTTTAATTGTTACTTGAAATCCAATTCTATTCCAGTTGGAGTTCATGCGTGGGTTGGTGCAGCTGACAATTGAGAAACTCGCAGCAGACATTGAGCAAATTGCCCAGGATGATCATCTGTTTGCCCATCTCCTCGACGAGACGCTGGCCTTTGAGGCGGACCTGCGTGAGACTTTTGGCTATCCGGCGAGCTTTCCCAGCGCCATCTCTGTGCTGACACAGCCCATGTATCTGCTGAAATGGATTGCGCTCGAGGAGAAGTGTAAGCCGAATAGAATCAAAAGGGTAGGCAAGGCAAGAAATGTAATTTTCTCCATTTTCATTCTCGTAGTCTGTGCCGAGAAAATGGATCACATACTGCAGGCGGAGGCGCCGTTTCTGCTCATCGATCCCAATACGTATGAGGATGATCTGAAGATACCGCGTTGTGCGGATCAATTTATGCGCCTGCTGGAGGCCATCAAGGATCGCTATTATGCCCTCATCCAGCCGGGTCATCAGTTGCAGTTTCTGTCTCTGCAACTCGAACTGATTGACAGCTTTCGGCGGCGTCTCGTGCAGTTGCACAATAGTGACGCTGTGACCAGTTTGCCGGTGCTGAATGCCTTCAATTATTTGATCATGGTGCTCCGAGAGTGGGGTGAAAATGTCCACTATTTACATTTGCATGCAGCGCTGGCGGGTCCCAATGCCAGTGAGATTAATTCGGTGTTTGAGCATCCCGTTGCCGAACTCGAGCACTGGGCACGTCAACTGATGGGCAATCTGGTCAACAAGGCGGTCTATGTGATGAAGGCCAAGTCGATGAACTATCGCCACGATGCCTGGGCCAGCATGCCCGAACAGAATAACCGGGAACCGTTCATACTCTCACCCAGTGGTGGTGAAATGTTCCAAGTGCTCGTCATGGTGCTGCACAATTTGGAGAGTGAGCTTTCGGCGAACCTGTTCAATCAGACGCTGCGCCTGATGGCCCAACAGATCGATGACTACATGTTGGAGAGCATGGTGCTCAACACGAGATTCGCACCAGCGGGCGCCGCTCAATTTAACTACGATATGACGCTGCTCTTTGCCCTCTTTGGCCAATATACGCGACGACCCGAGCTGCTCTTCAAGCGGTGAGTAATCTCTGCGTCATTGTTTGTTTATCATTATTAAAATTTGGTCATTTTTTTGTAAAGAATTCACGACGCTTGCAAATTGCTGACGGCGGCGCGGGGCACAGCTTTATTATTGCTGGAAACGCTACGCAGTGTTGACACATCGGTGGAGGAGAAAACGAAACCATTGCATGAGCTCCGCGTGCTCAGTTTGGACAGCAGACAGTGCATTGAAGTGCTCGAGCGTCGGACAGACATCAAAATATATTTTTAATAAAGCTGATCTGGCTGATTTAAAAAGAAAAACAAAAAACAAGACTTTGTTGACCGGCCAATGACTTTGATAGTGTGCCTTAAAATGGGGTCGCATTTAAATCTAATATTAGCAGAGCGCTAATCAATTTAGTTATTAAACATCTCATAAGTAGATTGTTTAATTAAATAGTTGTTGTTTGCTATTTATGAGTAGGCAACTGCTAATATTCATTTGATTTGCTAATATATATTAAAGAAAGGGTATATTGGTTTTGTGCAAAAGTATGTAACAGGCTAAAATTTTGGATATAAATTCCCACAAACCAAACGAAAATCAAGCCGGACTTAGTTTATCGATAATCGCCCTGCTATGCGAATATCGTAATAAATCGATTACAGCTACAGTTTTAATTGATATTTAATATACCTTGACATAATATGAATTAAGCGGCTATCTATATTTCATATTAATTAAGTTTTATATCAATTGTAAAAATGTCATCAAAGTGGTTATAATGCAAGACATATTCTCACAATTGATGTAATTAATATCAACAGGTGCCTGCACTTTCTGTATACAAACACAAACATGAGAATGTGTGTGCGTGAGAGTAGGGTACAAATGCACTAATCATGCAATACATGTAATCGACATGAACATGTGTGTGTGTGTGTGTGTCGGTTCTGCAGCGCTCCGATATTTGAGAATGCATGCGTACACACACAACACACACATATATATGTATATGTATTTGTGGGCAATTTCGGTTTGGAATTGTGATATGAAAAAATAGTTTATTTTTGAGAACTTTTTTCTTTGAGTGTAAAAATCGTTTTAAAGCGAAATCTGGCAATAAAACTATTTCAAAGCTGAGCTCAGGACAATACAACTAGAATAATATATTTGGGATTTTAGCCTAGGGTGTTTTGTAGTCGATCACACTCGATCAGATCATTCTGAATTAAATGTTTAGCGTGTTACTTGAAAATTTAACGGATTGGGGAAAGTGTTACTGATATACATATATGCAGAATTATATATGATATGTATCTACATATATTTATATACATATACATATGTATGTATTCCCTATCAGTTTCAAGCTGAGTCAGCAACTCGGCTTTTAAGTTTTTCAAACTAGTCTGCTGAAATTAGGCTTTATTTGTAAACATTTTTATATCACTATATTTTTGTGTGCTCCTAACGACTATCACTATATATATATCCATATATCGTATACACATATAGCTTTTATTCATGAACAATAGGGTATGCAATCTTCTGACCCCCACAAATACAATCTGCACGCAGTTTTCATATATATGTGCGATTTCATTTCTTAATAATCAATAATGAAGAAAAAAAAAACAGTTCATTTATTTGTGTTGCTATATTTCAATATAAATCTATATAACTGCCCGTTAAATAAGTGCAATTCGTACACAAATACAATATACAAACATATAATAATAATCATTGAATTAAAGACATTATTTTGCACAATTAAATGGAATATCAATGATTTCGTAATTTAGTAATTAACTAAATTATATTGCTCGTTTTTTTTTTGTATAGTTTTATTTTTCTTTTGTATTCAAAAAATATATATTTATTTATACGTAAAACATGTACACGAGAAAAAAAACATGCAATAAGTTGTTAATAATAAATTGCTCTAAAAATACATAGCGTAAAATTAATGTATGTATATTTATATATATATTGGTATTATATGGATATGTGTGTGTGTGTGTGTGTGTGTGTGTGTGTACTCATTTGACAAACAATTTCAGTTATTAAATACCAGTTATTTTTTGCGACACAATAGACGCTCATCACATTATCAAAGATCATTAACCAATATTATCATCATCATCATCAGCTACCATAGTAAATATAATGTTTAATCGTAAAAATGTCTAACGGGAAGTCGCCCGCATCCTGCAGCGCTCAATTTAGTTGTTGTTTTCGAGGAGTACTTTTTCTATTCAAAGTTCTGATAATTCGCCGAATTGACGAAGGTTAATCGTTGTGCGGGCGTCATATTGAGATTACCACGATGCTTCTTGTCGTAGGCATAAATCACGCAAGTGGAAATCATCGCTATTGTTAGCCAACCGATGAAGAAAAGCTGCACCCAAGTGTGATCGTGGTTGCTGTGATCCACAATGATGCCGGCAATGTTGGTGATGACAGCCAGGCCGAGATTCTGGACGGACTGACAGAAGCCGTAGGCGGTGCCCAGCTGAAATTCGGGTATGATGAGCGCGACCAGTGGCCAAAGACTGGCGGCCAACATCGAATACGATAGACCCATTATAGACATGCCCAAATACGGAGTCAGTTGGGTAAATGTGAGCAGCAAATGTGCACCAATTGTGGTGATTGTGGCACAAAACACCCACGACACATTCCGTCCCACTTTGTCAATGATGAAGCCAAAGATTGGCGACGACACCGCCGCAATGAGATAGACCAACGAGTCGACTGTATTCGCCTGCTTGGGCGTGAAACCAAAGCGATCCATGAAGAACTTCTGGCCGAGAGCAATAAATGGAAAAATCGCCACATAGTAAGCGACACAAATGATGGAGACCATCCAGAACGGTGCCTTAAAGGTGAACACATCCAACAGCTTGGGTATCTCACCCGACGGATTATTGTTGCGCTGCATAATTCGTTCCGCTCGCTTATCCATCCAACCGAGTATCAAGGCACACAGTAAGGACAGGACGCAGGTGATCGTGGCGAGGAGCAGGACGACGCCAAGTGCCCGATATGATTCATAGAATTTGCTAACGTAATCATAGATGGGTTGCATCACCCAAAAGTTGACAGTGCTGCCGAAACGTGCCACAGACAACTGCAAGCCAAAGACCATGTTCAGCTCCTTGCCCTTAAACCAGAGCACCGCATAACTGTTCTGCGCAACAGCCAACGATTCAGCTCCTATGCCAAAGATAAACCGACCAATGATCATGAGCCAGAAGGCGTCCAGCAAGGCGCCACTGGCAAAGATTAGCTGCCCCACCAACAGGATCAGCATATAGATAATCGTGCCCAGTCGTATGCCAAACAGACGATCGATCAGGAATCCGCCAAGAAAGCAGAGGACAACGTTCGGCCACGAGTAGATCGAATAGATGAGCGTAAATTGTGTTGTACTCAAATCCAGTTCCCGTTTGAAGACATCCTGCAAAGCGCCCGGATTATCATAGCAGAAATACGATCCAAAGCCGAGCAGGCACATAAAAATCAATGCCTGAAAGCGATGACATTTGCTCGTCGGCATACAGCAGCCACTGGGCAGCTCCAGCTCATTATCCTGCCTGCCGCGAATCTGTGTCTCCGTCTCCTCGGGCTGTTCCTCCACTTGCTCGTTGTCCACGATGCTTTCCTCGTCTTCGCGAGCCATGACTTGTTGTTCTTCTTCCTCTCGGATAACTTGTAATAATTGTGACCGTCTGTGACCCGGCTCCAGTGGGCGTAAAAGTTTAAAGTTACAGTTGATATCGTTCCGCTTTTTTATTTATCTGAATAATTCTGCAATAAATAAGACAAAATGTCGTTTTATCTGGCCTCACACACACCACACACACACACACACACATATATATGTATATATTTATATAGTTGTTAGCTTATGTGTGTGTGTGAGTTTTCAACTCTTTTGCTTTGTCTGCCATTTTCTTATCTGCTTCTGTTTTTGTATTTGTTTACTGCACTCTTTGTTTCTATTGCCAGCGTAATAGTTTACGCATTAGATTTGTTTTGTCTTACATTTGCTAATCAAAACATTTTAAAGTCCACTTACAGTGATTTTTTACGTCTTTATTGCGAACGAGTCGCGAGTCTGGTGCACCTGCCCGTTATTAGCGTTCACATAAAACTAAATTCGTTTTGGATTTCTCTCCTACGCTGTGCGCTGATTAATGTTAATTACTCGTCCCATAATGCACTCGTTACAAGTAACGATTACTTTTTTTTGTTAGTGCGCCAGGGCTACCAAACATAAATATCACTATTAATTACATGCTTTTCAATAAAACACTATAATTTAGTGCACAAAAACGTGTAGATCATTCGATTTTTTTTTAAATATTTATTGAGATTTGTTAAATTTGTTAAGTGACAAACACATTTGCATCTCGTGCTTTCGATTTCAATTGATGTGCAGCCCTGGTCAATTTGGATAATTTCGCAATATGAATTTTGTTTAGTTTTTACGGTCAGCGTAAAATGTGTATTTAATTATATAATCGGCTTGGTGATGGCATCCATTGATACAAACAAGCGCAAACCCAGACGCACACAAGGCACTCCATCATTTGCATACCGGAATCGTTTCGCCTATGCACTGCTTGCCGCCGGCTCGCTGCTCTTTGGCATTTGGAGGTGAGTGAAATGAAGAAAAGCCGAAATTGTAGTTGTTAAACAAATTGAAATCTTTCCACAGCTTGACGCCCATGCAACGCATTGCCAACGAGAAGCTGTGCAAGAAACTATTGACCCCCAGCGAAGAGGAGCAGGATCGTCGTGCGCTGTTTGAGTTCGCTGCCCCACGTCCTGGAAAATTCATCCGTGAAGCAATCGAGGAGAGCGAAAATCTGCGCACGGAACGCTAAAAACAAAAACAATAAGAACAAAAATGGATAGGCAAACGCGGAGAGCAAACTTTAAGAAACTACAAGAGCCAGCGAGCAGAAAGCTGCGGTAAGGTAGCACCAGAGAGAGAGAGAGAGAGAGAGAGATCTGTTGACCACCAAGATACATCCTGTCTTTAATTAGTTATTAACTAATAAAATGTAATAGTTTATGCTAAAACGACTCGTTTTTCTGCTCACTTAAAGCTCAACGCGCAGCAACAAGGCGGCCACTTTGTCAGACTTTTTCAATACACCCGAGGATATCAGCAATGAGCAGCAGGAGCAGCTGCCGTCAGACAAGGATGAGCCAGAAGCCAAGAAAACACGTGAAATGCGAGAGATTTCGCCGCCGGCTGTAAGCAAGCCCAAAAAGGCGCCCAAGCTGAAAACGACTGCAACCCAACAGCGAAGAGGACGCGGTGGGTCGCGTGGACGCAGCAAACAGCAGCCGAGCATCAGTGATTTCCTGCGCAACGAGCAGCTCTTCGCGGAGGTAACCGCTCAGCATTGTATCGCCGACAATTTCAGTCCGAATGACATTGAAATGGCGCTGGCATTGTCCAAATCGGAGGCAGAGAAATATGGTCGATTGCGACTGGAGGACACAACGCAGGAGGAACAAGAGGAAGTGGTTGATCTGCTCGATGCACAGGATGATCAGTCCACTGAGAATGTGCGTCGCAAGCTACAAAAATACGGATTTCGCACAGCCGCCAAGGCGGGTGAGTTAGTCGGCTGCTGTTACTCCTAATCTGATGATTAAAAGTGATTTATTTATAGACTACAATATGCTGACGTTTGCATCATTGCCTGGTGGCAAGCGGGGTAAGCGCTGCAAGTGGGCCAATAAATTTACACCACTCACATTACGCAATCCCGTGGAGCAGCTGAAGAAGCTGGATGCCAAGATAGCTGCTCTAATGGCGCAACAAGTGCGAACCAAACTGCCAGCCGCAGAGGATCAGATTCCATTTGAACTGATCAGCTCAGTGCTGCAGCGATTGAAAGCCACTGGCGAATATCGGATAACCCACGAACCGAGCGAGGAATCCTTGGCGAATCTGAGTGCATATTATGTGCAGGATTTGTTTGAAGTTAGTCGCACGCCGGCGCATCATCTGCTGAAAAACTGGGCGGCCATTCAGGGACGTGATTTGTCACCAAAGCGACCCAGTAAGGAGAGTCTGCGACGCAAACAGCAATTGGAGCAGGTCTATTCAGAGTTGGAGGCGCATTTTGGGGCGACTGCCGAGAAGGAGGAATTGGATGAGTTGGAGCTGCTGCTAGCCGATAATCTGATACAGGATAATAGTCAAACAACAGTTGATAAGTGCGTTAAGGATGCGATAGAGGATAAGAATAAGGAGCAAATCTCATTGAGCATTAACAGCAGTCCTTTGAAAGAGCCACCCGACAAGCGTCAAAGAATTATGCAGGATTTCAGCATTGATAAGGAGAACATGCAGCCAAGCACTTCATCAAAGCTATCCCTGCCGACACAAAGCACTCGCTGCACTTCACCCGATCTCTTTGCTGATTCGGATGAGGATGAGCACGATATTGAAATGCCATCCGCATGCAGCAAGGAGATGCAAAACTTTTCTTTAAAGGTTTACAAGGACATAAGCACAACTGAGATCAACTGCTACGAGATTTACTCCAGTGATGAAGGTAAGAAAAATAACCAAAATCCCAACAAAGATTAAAGAGAATTGTATTTTGTTTTAGTGAAGATTGTTCCAGATGCTAAGCTGGAGAGGACAAGCATTGAACGTGAGCACTTTATACTTATCTTATTATCCTGACATAATATTTGCATCTTCCAGCACCAGTTGAAGAGGGTTTCATCGATCTCACACAGGAGGAAGATTCACCAGAACGTGTCCTCAACACCACTTCAAGTCCATCTCTTTTTGAGCAACAAATTTTTGCACCGAGTCCAACAATGGATTCTGAAGAGGAAGCCGATGCGCTGGCAAACGATTCAAGTGTTCAGGCGGCTGATTGCGAAATATCGGATGAGTTATATGCAAAATACGCTAACAAAACAACGCGAGACTTTGACATAAGCTCCGCAACTGAATCTAAACCGGATGATAACTCGTTTAACCTGAGCTCAACAAGTGCCACCAAGTCATTGTCAACAATATCATTCCCCGTGGCCACCAACTCCAATTCCTGTAAGGATCTCTCATTCAGCTTTACACAATTGGACAGCACTAAGCAAACATTCCAGCGCAGTTTTAGCTTGACGCAATCTCCAAGGGAGAGTTTACAGTGGAAGCACAGCTTCAAGAGTCCTGCCTCCACATTCACCTCACCCTTTAGCCAATCGGTTGAGAAACCCGTCTCCACATTCACTTCCCCCTTCAGTCAATCGGATGCGAGTATTGATTTGACGCAGGACAGTTGCGAGGATGAGGATAATGAGGGTATCCTGCTCTCTGATGATGAAATCAATTATTCCATTTGGAAGGCAGATGAAACGTGTCGCGATTTGGCGGATGAAAGCAGCAGTGGCAATGAAAGCACTTGCAATGCATCCCTTTCTAAAAGGAAAACTGTGCCTTATTTTAGAACTACAGAGGATTTGGATGCATTTCTGGCTGCTTCGTCTGCGGCTTCCATTAAATCCTGCAATTCTCGCTCGCCCAATAAGAGCGCTTTGAGCAAGGAGCGTGCCGAGTTTGGTATACTAGATGCGGCCATCTCCCAGCCATTTACGCTCTCCCAGCCAGCAAGTCCAACGAAGGCAGCTGACACATCCCAACTACCTATAGACTGGGCGGAGGCATCATTTCTAGAGACGCCACCAGAGGCGCCAGTAAAACGCTACTCCAGCAGCTGCAGTCATAAATTTAAAGATCTATTGCGGCACATCTCAGAGCCTGCCAAGCCTATTGAAGATGCTGAAGATGATGAGATTGATGAGTTTGATCGTTTGGTCTTCCAGCACAGCAAAGATACAACAGTTGACACAATGCCAAGTGGATTAGATCGACTGCTAATGGGCGAGATTAATGTGGACAGCCTGCCTGAGCCAGTGGCGGTGCCTGTCAGTCCGGCAAAAGTGACGGATGTCTCCGAGAAGTTGGAGCTAAACGGTCAGGTGTACAATGTATCCATTTGTCAGACGCCCAAACCGGATTTTGTGCATCTTAGCGAAGCGGAGCTGTTGCAGCAGCTCTATAATTATGGCATTAAGCCACTGAAACGCAAACAGGCCGTCAAATTGCTGGAATACATCTATAATCAGACGCATCCCATTATGCTGCCGCCACAGGAGCAACCACAATCCGATCGCTTGCTTCACTCACGCTCCAAATCTACGCCGGTGAATGGAAGCACAAACAAATCACATGTTCCGCTGCTGCATAATCCCAGTGCTGATTGCCTGACACCCACAGAAGCTCCCCCAAATCTTAACCACAAATTTAGGGATGCTCCTGGCACGGAGCTGTTGCGTTTCTCGCAGGCTGTGCCTCCTGCTCTCTGCGATGACTTTGAGTGCTATGTGCTGCAAACGAATGTGAGCAAGAAGACGCCACAACCATTGCTGCCCCTTCACATTGCTTGGCACAATCTGCTCTGCGCCAATCCACGTCTGCACGAGAGTGTGCTCATGTTTGAGCCCATTGACTTGCAGGAGATTTATTTATATCTTAAGCAGCTGGGACATCGCTATGATCCCAAAGAGCTCAAGTGTTTCTTTGACAGACGCTGCATCATTTTCCGTTATGAGCTGGCTCCGCCAGCGAAACCGGCTCAAAGACACATCAGAAAACCCAAATCCAAGAAACCTGGTTTGAAGTCTTAGCAGATTATACGATAATGTTTAGTGATTATTTTTTATGTTTAAAATTGTAATTCTTGTTTATTAATTATGTAATTAGTTTGAACATCACATTGTTATTCAGCCTTTTTGGCATCTTTAATTATGATAAGCATTTAGTACTTTGCATTTCCAGATTGAAATATATACGAAACTTTTGTTATTAAATGTGTATTCCGCCGAGAAATTGATCGATTACCACTTCCAGGATGCGCTCCACATTCGGTGAGGGTATCAGCTCATCCATCATTACTATTTCATTTCTCGTATACTTTTCGATATTCTCAAAACGTGATTTTTTCGGCTGCTTGCCTTTCAAATACTTCTCACATTTTTCTGCAAGCTTTTCAGTGAATTCCAGATCCAGCTCTAGATCGGTTATGGGATCTGTCAGAAATTCGTAGCACGTGAGAAACGTATCCAGGACATTCATTTTCAACAATAATAATTTACAAACTCATATTTTTAACATTCATATTCTGAACTGAGCGTAGAGCCTACTTTGTGTGCATTGTTGAATTTAAGCGTAATTTCAAACATAAGTTAACAGAATGAGAGCAGAAAATAGTCTGGCAGCGCTGAACTGCCTGCATTCGATAGCAGGCATCGCGAAGCGCGAAAGCATCTTGATCGCTGATGAGCTCCGTTATATCGGACCTTATTCAGATTATTTTACAATCAGATAAACAATTAGCCAGTTAGTTGTTAGTTTCCAATTTGAAATTATAGCAAGAATAAGCATTTGAATATGCTCCCTGGTTCGCCTATCCCATCATAAACACAGAAATAATCGATAGCTATTGATAGGCAGCAGCTGTTAAATGATGTCTCTCTTACAGACGTATTGCAATCTGTTAGATTCAATTTAAAGAATTATTCCCTTTTTCTCTTAACCTAGACACCGTTTAGATAAAATGCTGTCCAGCAAACCATTAAGTAGGCGAATCTGCACCGAATCGCTATTAGGAAATACACATTTTGCAATTAGTTGTCACAGGTGAACAGCGAGCGACGACCAAGTAATTAACAGAACAATAACATTTGAGCAATTTGTTAACATTTCCAGAGTGCCCACAGCAGCTGTGGATGTCACTGTGGTGAGCAAACAGAAGAAAAGGAGAAACACAGCAGAAACACACACACAAATCTGAAGACCTAAAGCACAACCAAAATCTTCGTGCAAAACATTACAATACAACAACAATAACAACAAGTGTGCAACGCTAAAAAAAACAATCAAATATAACCAGAAGTGCAGCATAGTGATGCGTACCTGTCGCCGTCGTCGTCGAGTGTGATCCGAGTGTGAGTGCATAATTTACAGTTTGGCCTTCCTTCCCCTGCGCGCAACACCAACAACAAAGGCATCGTGAACGACTCACACGCTTACGCACACACACATACTCACGCGCAGCACACACAGACGCGCGCACGCACGCATACTAAGCCAAAAGAGCCATAGACGTTGTGTATGTGTATGTCTGTCTATATATACACGGATGTACATATGCGCATAGATTGCGATATTTGCGATTGTGTTTTGTCACCAATTAACAATAACAATAACAACTACAACGACAACGACAACAACAAGTAAATAACAACAAAATTTGAAATGGGCCTGCTACTATCGCGTTTATGGCGCATGTTTGGCAACGAGGAGCACAAACTGGTAATGGTTGGCCTCGACAATGCGGGCAAAACAACAATACTCTATCAGTTTCTGATGAACGAAGTGGTCCACACGAGTCCAACGATTGGCTCCAATGTCGAGGAGGTCGTCTGGCGGAATATTCACTTTCTTGTCTGGGATTTGGGTGGACAGCAGAGTTTGCGGGCGGCATGGAGCACTTACTATACGAATACAGAGCTGGTCATTATGGTGATCGATTCAACGGATCGGGAACGTTTGGCTGTCACACGGGAGGAACTGTATCGCATGCTGCAGCATGAGGATTTGAGTAAGGCAAGTCTGTTGGTGTATGCCAATAAGCAGGATCTCAAGGGTGCTATGTCGGCGGCGGAAATCTCAAGGCAATTGGATCTGACGTCGATTAAGAAGCATCAGTGGCACATACAGGCGTGTTGTGCGCTAACCGGCGAGGGATTGTATCAGGGACTCGAATGGGTTGCACAGCGCATTAAAAACAAATGACACGTCACGTCGTCGTGACGGACGGACATCGAACGGATGCACCGAGCAGGGGGCCTAGCTTATAGTGTTAATCATTTAATTTAGACAAATAAATCAATTTTTATATATGTATACTAAAAAACTAAACTAAACTATGTAAAGACATCAGCTCTAATTATAATGTGAAATCTGATAGTGTTTGTTAAAAACGAAATCATCTTGTTTGTTGCAAAGAGCAAAGCAAGGCAAAAGCCAAAATCAACTTTTGAAAATCAGTGCTTTAGTTTTTAAACTCCCACACACGCATCGCCCTCAAAACAAAACAAAAAACATAAATCATTGTTTAATTAAGCTATGCTAATTTGTAAGATGGAATCAGCCAATTAAATACTTCCAATAAATTTATAAAATAAACAAGTTTATTTCCCAAATTGTTTTGTTTTGTAAGTTATAATACATACATAGAAGTTGGACGTATTTCTTTTTACTGTTACTGAACTGAACATTTGCATTGTAATTGACGTCGTTAATTGCATTGCATACATTGTTGTGTTGTTTGTTGGATGTGTTAAATGTGTGAGATTGTTTTGTACTCTAGCCACCAAAATGAGATATATATATATATATATATATGTACGTATATGTAAAATGAATAAATTAAGTTTTGCTACTCGCCACGCCTCGAGTAGACACAAAAAATTAACAACTTTAGTTTAGGATTATTACAAAAATTATATATATATATAAATATAAATACTACAATATAGCCACACGAAAACTTGATCACATAATAAATGAAGAAAATAATAATAATAAAAAAAACAAGAAAACAAACAAAATTGAGATGTCAATGTTTATGTGAGATTGCAGGAGCTGCTACAGCTCTTAAGGGGCTTGCTCTGGCCGAGCTGCACGGTATTATCATCTATGGCCTGGACACTGTTCGAATCGTGCTGGCGCTGCACAGAATATGGAGAACAATTAAAGCAATTGTTGAGCAAATATGTTGCAAGTTGTACCTTAAGTTCGGTGGCCAAGCAGCGAAAGGCATCTTCGACGTTGGTATTCTCCTTGGCGGATGTTTCCATAACAAATAGGATTTCAGGTATATACTGACACATTTGGCGCGCCTCCTCAAAGTCCACCTCGCGCTCCTCCTCGAGATCACATTTATTGCCAATCAGTATGATGAGCACATTGGAAGCCGTATATCTGCGCACCTCCTCAATCCACTTCTGCAGATTCGCAAACGTTGCACGCTTCGTGATGTCATACACTGTTAATTATAGAAATATGTATACATATGTATCAATTAAAGTGGCACTCCATAGACGAAACGATAACGATGCTGCCAGGGGCTATTAACAATCAATGCAATTATAAACATTCAAGTGAGCGACTTCTTATCACGGGCCATGACAAAGTGCCCCCACGGGTCAAAAGATAACGTTTACTGCAATGACGAATGGTTTGCCCAATTATATTCTTGGATTTAGTCACTCACCAATTATAACGCCGTTGTTGGCGCGATAATAGCTCTGAGTAATGGTGCGAAAGCGCTCCTGTCCAGCCGTATCCCAGATTTGTAGCTAAAATAACAATAATAATCATATGCATTATCTATTTGTCTTTGGGGAGTGCTCTGACTTTACCTTGACTTGTTTGCCCTCGACTTCAATGGTTTTCATTGAGAAGTCAACGCCAATGGTATTCCCATGTCGCTCCACATAGTTGCCCGTCTTGAAGCGTTGCAATATAGATGTTTTACCCGTACAACAATCACCAATTAGCACAATTTTAAAGAGGAAATCAAAATTGTCCTCATTTGGCAGTGCCATCAATGTTTGTGGATTGCGCGCCGTCATTTTCTGGCCCAGCCAAGGAGCGTAGCGCCACCTTCAGCGTTGCTGGTGCTGGTTGCGTTTGCAATTTACTTGTTATTTAGCATGGAAAATGTTTAATTTATTTGTTTTAACTCGCTGATACTAATGAAAATGCGTTGCACAAAGACTATGTTGTGGTGCCCTGTCAACATTTCAAAGCGGGTATATCGTTTCGAATAGCAATTCAATTTAACAAATATGCTGACATGTTTTAATTATCATTCAATATAATCGTACACGTTATCATCATTCATCACATACTTGTCATGTATCTCCTTTTTAATTTTCAAGTATAGTTAGCAATTTAATAATAAATATCCTCTTATTGTGGACATTGCGGGGTATTTTATTATTCATGACTCTGTTCATTTCATTTTTCGTTGCTTGCAGGTGTGTGCTAGCTGGTGACATTATACAGTACTGTTAATACTGCGTTTGACAGCACTGTTTTTTATCTAACGCGCATTTTTATGTGATTTAAATGCCAGCTGGGAGCAAACACCTCAAATGATAATAATAACGAAATCGAAAGTTAGCTTTGTAAATTAAAAAAAAACGACGTGCATTAATGATAAGTAATACAAGATCAGCTACATGTATTAATGCTAAGAGATTACAGTAATAATCACTTGTTATCTTTGTGTATTTTCTAATCAATAACATTCCGATAAGATAGCCATAAAGTGTTATATAATACATATATTTATTTACTTATATTGCGCGCGATTGTATTATATTATATGTATGTTATAAATACATATATTTTATGTATATTGTATAAAATTGAGTTTCCCATCATATTACATATGTATTTCATATACATATTTGCTGCAGTTGAATGCTGACAAATGTGCAAGTCATGCGTACGTAAACAAAAATTTTATTTATATCAATTGTGTGTCCGATTCTGTTATGAAAGCTTTTCTAAATTGTGTCTCTCTCAAAAAAAGCTCGCCCAGCATTACTTAAATGAAGCCTCAAAAATGATGTTCTCTTGTCAGTAATAAAACCCGTAGCCGGCAACACCCCAATTTCAATTCTGTTCCGTTCTGCCTGTTTTGGTTGACATCATGCCGAAATTAGTGCTGTATGGCCTGGACTTGAGTCCTCCAGTGCGTGCCTGTCTTCTGACATTTCGCGCCCTCGATCTACCGTTCGAATACAAGAATGTGAATCTGCTGGCTGCCGAGCATTTGAGCGAGGAATTTCTCAAGAAGAATCCACAGCACACAGTGCCCTTGCTGGATGATGATGGCACATTCATTTGGGATTCGCATGCGATTTGCAGCTATCTGGTGGATAAGTATGGCAAATCGGATGCACTGTACCCCAAGGATTTGGTAAAGCGAGCGCTTTTGCAGCAACGTTTGTATTTCGATGCTAGCATTCTCTTTCCCTCGCTGAGGAACATCAGTTTGCCATTCTTCTTCAAGAAGGAAACTCAGGTGCCCCAAGAGAAGATCGACAATGTGCGCGAAGGGTACGAGCATCTGGAGAAATTTATCGGCGATAATCTCTATGTGACGGGTAATTCGCTGACCATTGCGGACTTCTGCTGTGCAGCAACGATGTCCTCACTGGTGGCTGTTTTGGATGTTGATGCCGTTAAATATCCAAAGATGCACGCCTGGCTGGATCGTCTGGCAAAGCTGCCATACTATCACGAGGCCAATACTGTTGGTGCCGAGAAGTACGTCAACATCATAAAGAACGCATTTACAATTGTTTAAGTTGATTCGATTGAAATGAATTATATCAAATATACATAAATCAAGTTTCACATATTTCATACGGCATTTTATTACTTTTTAACAATCGATAACAAATAAAAGCTTGGTTTCTTATCGCCGAGCTCTGTACAGCACTGGTTTTGCGCTGGGTGGCAGCACTGTTTCACAAACTGCGCGCGCATGCCCCTGTTTAAATAACAGTTCACAGCTCTTAGCCATTATGCAAGACAATCGGTTTTGGATAGCGGCTTATTTAAATGAGACAATGGCAAATGGAAAGCGTTTGACTGTGCGAAATTATGTCAATCATCGCCTGATAGGCTTCATTAAAGCGGCCCTCACGTACTCTGATAACGTTTAATTGTATTTACATGTGGCTTAATAAATTTTCACCACGTACTTAATGATGGCGCCATTTAAGCTACCAAAATCGACTTAATTGAGCTGTAAATATTTACAACGACTTACAAATATTTCTCGGCAAATTTTCCCCAATGAAATGTTAACTGCTTTTCCATATGCAGAACCTTGACCTAGATGTATTTATATACTTACTGAGGCTATTATAACTATGTGAATTATTACATTCAGACAAAAAATTCTTGAGACCAGAATACTATATCATAAAACTCCTACAATCGCTCGATAGATGAGTTTTTATATGTTGGCGTGTTAGCACCTGTCTTCTTGAAAAACTTCTTGATTTAGACTCACTTTCAAAAACGCAACGGAAGTTGGCATCTTCATCAGCTGGTTACGAATCAGGCACACGCCCGACTAGATTAGGCCACAAAAACATGTTCTATAACATGTTCTCAATCAACTGAAATGCAAAATAGACAAGCGGCTGGGACAACTGGCCAAACGCCTTCGAACGCCACGATTGCCAAGTGGATTGGAAAACCGCAACAAATGTTGTGTGTATTGTGGTATTTGATATATACGCACTCTCGTTTTATTTCGCTTGGAAAGTTAAAAAGCCTGGTCGAGATATTCTATTCGCGATGCTACTTAGTTATGCACAATGAAACCAACTATCGTCTGGCGCCTGGCGACCCACATCTGTTTGAGGACCATGACTCATTTGCAGCTCGGCTGCACTTCCTAGCACACCCAGCAAGGTACTCCTGAGTAACTTATACACTTGAACAAATTTGTGAATATACATGAGTATTTCGCTTTAGATTTGGAGCTCAAAAATTTGATTGTTTCTTCTTTACAGGGCTTCTTCATTCATGAAATTTTTAGTTTTATTAATTAATAATCACTTTCCTTGCTGGTTCTAGTCTACAATTTGTTTTCTATGTGTAGCTGAATTGTGGAGGCCTCGTCTATCGCTGTTTGTTTTGGGGTAAGAGGAAATTCAACCAACTCACACACATACTCACACACACACACTCTCACAGTCACTTCTTAAGCTATATGGCCAATGAATGCCTTAGTCAACAGCATGTTTTTCAACTGGTTTGTCGTTTTGGCCTTTGGGTAGCTTCTGCCAATGTCTCGCCTGCTGACGCCGCCCCCTTCTTGCCCCTTCATGCATTCCCCTTGTGCATTGACTTCGTCTTTTGGCGCTACTTTTATCGCTGGCCACAGTTGCTGGCCGCTTTAGTTGAATTTCAAACGTTTGCGCGCGCGGTTGTTTTTTGCTTGCCCAAACAGAGTCGTGCAATTCTAATAACGGTCTACAGGCGAAGGATAAAACGGTCGAAGAAGTGAAAAATCGTGTCAAGAATTTTATGCCGAACCTCTAGAAATCATAGACTTGAAAAGTGAGTTTGAACCGAGCTTAACCTACGGCGGCGAGAGTGGATCTCTTTTTTTAACTCTGCAAAGTGGGTCAAGGAGCAGTCTTGCAGTTTTAGACATATTTGCAATTGGCTGATAACAGAGCACAGCTTATGTAAGCAGCCATAGAATGTATAATCAAAAAGAAAAGGAAAACAAAACAAAAAAAAACACAACTATAAAAATTTGTCAAGACTTTCTACCAGTACTTTTGAATTGATTGGATTTTGAGGTTTGATATCATTGGTAATTTTCACATGCGCATCACGAACCGATTGCCTGATGGACTGACAGTAAGCGATGCGAGTGTTCAACACTTGCACTTTCATTTGCCCAATTGCCTTTCCCAAATGTTGAGTGTTGTTTTTGTTTCTGTTTCTAATTAATTATGCAGCGCCATTCGCTTCGGCAGTTTCGCAATCTACAAGCCATAAAAAACAAAAGACTTAGGACACGAACTTGCTTGACGTCTTGCATATACTATACTATCATGCCGTTGCTTTTTTGTGTAAATGTCACATAATTAAATTTCATTATTGTTTTTGCTTGCACTCAACCCGTTAACCCAAATTTCAATTTCATTTAAGAATTTTTTTATTGACTGTTTACGCTGCTGGCAAAGAGCAGAGGAGCATTTTGTTTCCGGGTTGCTTCAAATAATTAACTAGTTAAAAAAGTTTTCAACTGCAGTGATTAAATAAATCTTATATTATTTATATATTTTGTTTTAAAAGTCGCAAAACTGCGTTAATAAAATGCCAAAAATGTGTCTTAATAGAGCTGTTATCAAAGTGCGAACAGAGTAATTTGCTTTCGTTGAGTGGATTTCATTTTTTGCTTTTGACGCGTCAAGCAGGAAACCAATTGTCATATATAGTATCGAGGTGTGTATATATGTATGTTATGGCAGTCCAATTAAGAAGAGCTTGCACTAATTCGCCATAAGTTTCAAGAGTCTTTTCACTCTTCTCACTTATCACTGCTCAGCTGCATACCACAGACAAGCAGACAGAAATTGCTTGCTGCGTGCTTGTTGTAGTTGTTGTCGTTGCTGTTGCTGCTGTTTGCCAAAGGCGTTGCTCTGATTTGCTATAGAAATCAAAACAATCCTTAACAACAAAATGCACAGCCATTGGCTGAAGCGCGTCAAAGCAAAAAAAACAGACAGACAGCCAAACTGAGACAGACACATAGACAAGCTGGCACCAACTATGCGTTGCTATTTGTATACCCTCTACCCATTAAAAATGTGTTGCAAACGAGTATCTTGACATTGTGCAAATGTGTGCATACACACATATGTATATATTTAATCAGCAAAAGAGCTAAGACGATAACTCAGCAAACAACTTATGAGTAGAGCTGTGATTAGGATTTTGTATTGTGGTTTGAGGATAGCCGTGTATCAACTTTATATTTGACATGCTATGCAGGGTATTTGCATGTTGATCACTCTTACTTATTGCTGTTTGCTTGCATAGGCATCTAACAACTGGCATTCGCTGACAGTGATATTAAAATGTGCCCAGCACACATTGCAATTTCATCTAGTTTCTGGCACAATTTCTCTGGATGGTTGCACCTGTTGCAGCTGACAGTTAAGTATAGGGGAGAAGCTGTAAACAGGACACGCCCCTTTAATGTGTCTGTCTGCGTCTTGTCATGGTTTTTACACAGCTCATTACTGCTCAATTCATCAATTTATCATTGTGGGTTTAAGGGGAGCTGGCATATTGCTTTAACCCTTGCAGCGAATTTCATCCAAAATATTTGTTTCCATTGGTTTCGAAATCGTGTCTGAACTAGATAAGCAAACTAAACAAACAACCAGTTAGCCTCTGAGAAAGTGCTTTAGAATTTCAACTGGTGCTAGATTTCGACTGTATAGATTTATGCTCAAAGATTACCGGTCTAACGGCTGACTACAATCCTGTGCAACAGGCTGCCTGGCAAGTTGCATCATCCACCACAAGTATTTGATATTGGTGTTGCTGCGGTAAAAGTGCGTCGTGAAATTGGTTGATAAAAGAGAGAGATAGAGAGCGATGGGAAGGAGAAGAGCTAGAGACAGGGAGTGTGAGTGATGGTTAACCAATTTAAAACGTTCCATTTTGGGTGCGTTTGCTCCTTTGGGTGAAATTCGCAGTGAAACTTGTCTCGCCAGAACGAAATGTCAATTTGTTAAGATGCTTTCACTGTTAGCTAAAATAAATAATGCAGCAAATTATAAAATCAATATAACAGAAGCATAGTTAACTAGTTTCTTGAACTCGACGAAGCAGCAGCAGCAGCTCAAACCAAATCGAATTAGGATTGAGGAACAATTGCCGGTCTATAATCAAAAATTGCTGTTAACGATGCTGGCAAAAATAATAAGAGTCGAAGCTTTCCCAAACGAGCCAGAATTCTAATCCGTGTTCGACAAGGAAAACCTGTTGCTTGAGTATGGGGCCATACTTTTGATTCAGCTGAGCAAAAGGCTAATGTTTATAGCTGCTATTATACAAGAATTAAATAATGCTAGGCGAAGCGAGTTCGTTGTCCAAGTCTTTTGTTTTAATTGTTTTTCTTCTTCTGCTGATTATCTAGTATGCGTGTGAACCTCAACAGTCTGCATTTGCTGCTAATGTGCATTAGTCTCTGGACAGCTGCAGCGTTGCATGAAATAAATGCAGAGGCTCAATCACTGTTGGATGCGGACTCAGATACAAATACAGATGCGGATGCAGATGCTCCGCATATACGCAAAAAGCGACTCGTTTGGATAACGGACGATGGACGTTTGGCCTTGCCGCCGGGCACCTCGCTAACATTTACACCCACAATTGCGATGCCCTTGGTGCGACATCCGCCAGAAGGCTTCTTCTCAAACTTGACCATCAGTTTTCCCCTTACAAGTGAGTAGAACGTAGTAAACTTTCAAATTTAATGACTCCATTAACATCGTCATCCATTGCAGTTGACTTTGACAAGCTGGGGCTGACGGACAATCAGAATCCATTGGGTGATTTACCGTTCTTGGCTCGCTCCTTTGGCCATGATGCCGGCCAAATGGTTGGCCAGTATGTGGCACGTTATTTGCACGTGCAGCGACGCAAACGTGATCTGAGCGAGCAGCGCAGTAGCAGCGATAATCCGCATGAGGTGCACGAGGATCTGCTGCAGTATCCAGAACTACCAGCTGGTCTCAAGCACATCTTTCATGGTGGTGAGCGGGTGCTGCTCTATGGCGTTGTGGAGGACTTTTTGGCCACCTTTGGCCTGGATGGCAAGGCGTGTATGCTGCGCACCATCTGCGAGATGCACGCGAGGAGCTTGGAGAAGTTTGGCGTCTTCGGGGAGCTGACCAAGTTGTTTTTAACGTGAGTAGCAGCATTTGAATATTTTAAATAATCAATCAAGCTGATTTAGTCAATTTTCCAATTTTATTATTTATTTATTTTATGATTTATATTTTTAGGGTAACCAAGTCGCCGTTTGCGGAGCTAATACCCGAATATGTGCGGGCGCAGCGTGTGGGAGAGGGCAAGCAAGCACCCGGAGAATGTTTTCCCTACTACAAGGCATGTCCCAAGAGCATATTCAAAGCGCTTACCAACAAATATACAGCACAAGCATACAAAAAATCCACCGCAACAACAAAAACAACAACAACCACCCGACCAGTGGGTGAATACCATGAGCAGCAGGCGGTGCTGTTGCCCAACAGTGCGGAAGAGGTAGAGGAACAACCAACACAGGATAAGAAACTGATCCTCAGTACGGTTTATATGTAATGGAGATTCGATTTCTGGGGATCTCTTCTAGTTTAAGGCGGCAAATGTGTGTTTGTTGTATTTGCCGACAAATTTGAGTGCATATTGAAAGTCATTTGTTTGTAATTAACATACCACTAATTATTTATATATATTTATAATATTTATTGTTAGCTGCTAAGCTGTTGTTAACTTTATAGCTTTTAGGGAAATCATTTGTTGTAGTCTGTAAATAAACAAAATTGTGGCATAACATACGCATAGATAAATATTTATATATATATATATAAATATATATATAGACAACAATAAATTCCAGCTGACAAATGTGCTTTGTGCACAAGACATAAACAAATTGCATACATTTGTTTATTGCACACGGCGTATACGTAATGTAATTGAGCTGGAAATGTGAACGAATTCATATCAGTCCGAACATTTGCTTCAGCTGGTCCACATGTATATTGTTTATATAGTAGTACATGGACACGCTGCGAGCTATGGCATCCAATTTCAATGCATGCTGCATAGAATGCTGCTCACCATCCCCAAAAATCAGCACCTTCAGCAGAGCATCGTTATAAGTCATATGGGTGTGTATGTTGAGTAACTAAGATCAAATAAAATAAATTAAATAATCATATAAGTCAATTGCGATTAAATAAAGATTTTGAAAAAGTTTTAGAGGTCATAATATGTTTGAAAATCCCTGTTTATAGCATTAGAAAGTTTTGACCCTCTACAAATAGTTTTTGGGGGTGCAATTTTATCATGGAAGTTAGTTAGAAAGTTTTAACTCACCTCCATAAATAGGGTGGCCAGGGATATGTTGCAATCGCAATTCATGCTGTATCTGAGGCGAAAGAAGTGCAAACCCTTGAGGACAAATATATCCGATATATCTGGTATATTGTTGCCCATGCCAATTTTGACAAGCAGTCGCAGGGCATTGCGATATTTGAGCAAGCTTTCGTTTTTGATGAGCTGCATGCGTGGCACGTAGGGGCAGAAGCTTCGATTGTCGTACTGTGGATAGACCTGAAGTAAAGCCAGCCAATAAGAGGCAGTGCTGCAGTGCGTCCAGGCAGGTCCTGTTGGCACGAATGTGGGCAACGGAAAGTCGGCGAATTTAAACTCCAATGCGGGCAGAAAAACAAAGGAAATAATGCTGGGCATGCCTGAATCACGTTGCTCGCACGCCAGAATCTCATGCACAAATCCCTGATCGCCAATCTCATGGGTGCGATATTTGAGTGTGTATTGGACGCCACTGCTGCAATAGATGTACTTGATTCTGCTGATGGCATCGCGGAGATTACCTCGCAGAAGCAACTGAACATTCTCTGGGTTCACATATCCCTTGGTGATCATGGGATGTGTGGTGATGGGCGCATACAGATTTATATAGCCCGGCTGCACGGTATTGAAAATGGGCGTCACCGGAAAGGGCATTTGGAAGTGTAAATATTGGTCAAAATCCAATGGCACATCGATCTTGGAGCCCCTATAGAATGTGGCAGTGGATAGTAGGTTCCTCAACACAAATTTGTATATCCAATCCTTTTTGTACATCACTTCGCTTATCCGTTTGCAGATGAACTCGGCATCCTGCAGCCAATCTCCATCGCAATCCTCAATTTCCATTAGATCCAAGATCCATTTCATGCCGTCCTGAAAGTTGCAATAAGCCTCGGGCAGAAATAAGCTGATCTCACTTTCTATCTTATGATCGGTCATTCTTAAAAAAATAGAAGTAGCTGTTGCAACCAAGCGCGTTCACTTTACACTGAATTTGAGAGTCGTAAAGAGCAGCTGCAGTGTTTATTTCCCCAGAATAATATGCTATTCGGTTTGTTTATACATGCGCATTGACTTGATTTCCACTTGCCGCCCAAGCAGTATCGATAATCTGTGCAAACTTATATTTTTCAGGTAATATAAAGCTCTTAAAACTGAAAGATATCTATAAATCATTACGAAACAGCATTTATACTCCATTTCAGAGTATTTAAACGAATGTTGGCGCTTAGCATTCGCATAGTCTGCAACACTGTAACAATAGTATCGATGCCATAATATATCGATAGCAAGCGCACAGCTGACTGTTTGAGTTTATCACGCGTACGCGTACTGGAGGAACTGTTTTTTTTTTTGATTTTGTTATTTACAAAGTTTGCACAAAGCGATAAACACACAGCACGAATTCGGCGTGTTGCACAAATGTGTGCGCAGAGCGGATAGTAAACAGTAAATACGCTTGTTGCAGGTGAGAGCGATAAACAAAACACAATGCCAAAAGGCAAGGCAAAATTAGCAAAAACACCAACGCTAATGCCAAAAACCCGGCCAAACGCCAATTAGAATAAAAACAACAACAACAACAGCAATAACAATAGGAAGCAAAGTGCCACTGAGTCAGAGTTTTGTCGGACCATAGTTTGATAATGGTAGCATTGAGTATTATCACGGTCGCAGTCGACAGATGATTGTCATTAAAATAAAAAATAGCGGCCGGTATTGTTGTTGTTATTATTATTTTGTTGTTGCTTGTTGATATCACGCGGACGTGGCGCACAAAAATAACTGTTATATTTGGTCAATCATTTTTAGTTGTGTTTTTATTGTCATTTTCTTCGCACAGGTTAATCAACGCATTTTTGCATTGCCATGGCTGACCTGGACAACAAAGCGGACTCGATGCCACCAATTGATGCCATGGCTCCGATTGCTGCGTCGCTTGCAGCTGCTATTCCGGCGCCAGCTGGCTCCACGTCGGACACCTCCGAGGAGGAAGAGTATCTGGACAATAGCATTGAGTTGCGCGGGTATTTGAGCAAATGGACTAACTATATCTATGGCTGGCAGCCGCGCTATATAGTTCTCAAGGATGGCACACTCTCCTACTATAAATCCGAATCGGAATCGGATTTGGGTTGTCGTGGCGCCATCAGTTTGTCCAAGGCTACCATTAAGGTGCGTTTCTAGACACAAAGTGTTTTTAATTGAACTAATCAACAACTCAAGGGGCCAGTTGAAGTGAGTGTGTGTGTGAGTGTGTATACAGTGGAACATCGCTAACTGTAATGATAACTTATAAGAGAAAAATAGAAAGAGACGCCATCGCTCGGCAATTGTTCGCTTTCAAAACTTGACAGTTTTATACTTAAGATAAGAATAGATAATCTGGATTCAACTATTTTTAAATTAAACATCGCAAAATTTCCGCTAGAAACATATCAATCTGGCTTATAGTTTGACTACTGTGGCCTTCAGTTAGATTCAATTATAATATTTAATATTATTCGATTTAACGTAGAGAAATACTTGAGTTGTTTTTTGTTTTGCTATTATTCTCTAGTCTGAAAACAATTCACATTCAGTTGCAAGCGAATCTGTGAACTAGGCTAATGAAACTTAACGAGGCTTGACTGTAGTTCTCGGGACGTTTAGCTCTCGCGACCCCGGACAATCAATGCAGCGCAATCAATTAATGTGGAAATTGTCGCCAGCCAAGTGGTGGTTTTGTTTGTGGTGCGGGTAACAAAATAATGCCCAAACTGAAGTCATCAATGTAAGTGGCATGCGGTGGCACCGCCCCTGCCACTGACGACACTTATGGGAAATGTGCTTATACTTCTAATCTATATATTTATATACTGTAAACAATGATTCATTATCGACAACTCTCCCCTCAGGCACATGAGTCCGATGAGCTGCGTTTCGATGTGGTCGTCAATAATCTGAATAATTGGTGTTTGCGCGCCGAGACCAGTGAGGATCGCATGCACTGGGTGGAGGTACTGCAGCTATATAAGGAGGGCACTGGCAGCACGGACACAACCTCATTGAGACGCCATGGCAGCACCATGTCACTGCAGTCGAACACCATATCGCTGGCCAGCGGCGGCAGTCTCAAGAAGACGCAACGCAATCTGCGCGAAAAGGTTGGCGAACTGGAGACCTTTAAGGATATACTCTTCATACAGATTGAGACGCTGCAACGGTACTTTGACGCCTGCTCCGAGCTGAACAAGAGCAATGCACAGCCCTTGGATTTGGGCGATGGCCTGAAGCCCATCGATTTTAAGGTATATATTTTGTAACTATCTAGCGAACGCTTACCTATATTAATAATGAAACATATTTTTATCGCCATGCAGGGTGAATCGATCACATTTCGTGCCACAACCGCTGGTGTGCTGAGCACATTGCAGCATTGCCTGGAAATCATTGCTGAGAACGATGAATCATGGAAGCGCAGATTAGAGCGTGAGATTGATAAGCGACGTCGCACTGACGAGCAAAATAGGTACGATGACCCTTGACCGTTGGCCCTTCGCATTTGTTGTGTCATCTAAAATGTTTTTCTTTTCCTTCATTTTTGTTTTGCAGAAAGTTCAAGGAGGAAATTGAAAAGCTGAAACGTTTATCATATCCAGGCCCAGATTTTGAGGTAAGTTTTTATTGTTTGTGGCTGTTGCACAAGCCCACACAAAAAAAAAATTGATTTCGGGGCCAATTTGATGTAGGTCCACAACAAATTGTAAATATAAACAATGGTGTGGCCTCGCTCCGCGTCAGCGTTAGACACAACACGCCCAGGTCCGCCCTCATCAATTCCAGTCAATGTCCAAAAATAACGGCGTATATAAATTTTGTTGTTGTAGATTTTGTTTGATTATGTTACAATTTTAGCGTACACAACAAGTGCCATGCTATTATTTAAACAATTCCGGATGATTAGGTAAAAGCACACTTCTATACTATAGAAAAATGGTCTATATTATAAAAATATATAATTATAGTTTTGCTGTTTGTTTCGTTTGTTTGTTTGTGCCTTGATTTAATGTTCCTGATTCTTATCGTATTTAATTGCTTGTCCCTAGTCCAGTTCGCTTTTAGCTCAACTCAAGGGCGTAGTCCGCTTTTCGCAATGGCGAAGGGGCGACTGAGTTGTATTTTTGCCTTATCTAAAGCTATAAAGTAACAAGTAATTAGCTGGGGGAACCCGTTCATTTTGGACATAAATAAAGCAAATTTAATGCTGTTATGACACACAACGTGATACCCCCCAAACCTCAGTCCCTGCTTTGCTCTACCCCAAATAACTGCCTCGAATTCATTATGACTTTCGTATTTTTAGCTGTTTATCTATCTCTAAGCGATAACTTCATAAAAAGCTATAAATTGGCAGGGAAATATTGGGTATAGACTAAATGCCCAGGGGAACTGTATTTTAACTTATTTCTTATTTTTTGATTTGTATTATAATTTATACAATTATTTAATGAAAATATATCAAATCATATCCAAATTTTAAATCACTTCTTATTTATTATAATCTAATCTAATAAGTCCAAAGTATTTAGAGAAACCCAAGCAACTTAGTCTTATTTTACTGAGAAGTGCCGGAAAGGGAAAGGGAAATGAGTTTGCTAAATTCTTAAGAAGTATCCACATTCCACCCATGCCACCCCTCGGAATACCTCCTTGCTTATAGTATTACATCAGCAGTTCTTGAATTGGGCTTGATTTTGTCATTGAGCTACTCACAACATTTTCATGTATTATTAATATTGAATTAACTGCATTCTATTTTGGTTCTGGCATTTCCTATATGTCAAACTGAACTTGATTGGCTTCTTACTTACTCTTCGACTTCTATATATTTACAATGTGTATATATATATATATATTACCTATGCTAATGGCGCAGTTCATTCACATTGCTGACTGCTCAAGCGCAAAAGCCAAATTGAAGGCACATGAAGATATTTAAAGTTAACGCATAGACAGTTTAAGGTTGCTGAAGTGCTTAAGAGCCAACATTGCAGTAGGTCATGTCTGTCTTGCTTTGGTAACAGTCGTGGGGCTTATACACTTACTTAACGTGAGCATTTCGACGTGCTGAGTGCTTTAGGAACTTTTGAAAAAGAAAATAGTTTTAATTGCAACTGAAGAACCACAAAGCAGTGACAAATTCATCTACAAGCAATCTACAAACTTTTCCAATTGTGTTTATATTTTTTAAATGAATCTACAATCCAACTGAATTCTTTTCAATTTTAAATATATAAATATTATCCAACAATAGACAACTATGCCACATTAAAACTATACTCTTTACTTGCAATCTTAATCTGATCACATTTGCAGCCCTTGTTCAGTTTAGAGCATGACAAGTTCGTGTTTGTCGATTGATAAACGTAACTCTTGTTTTAGCCTGGCTTAAATGCCCACTCGGCTCGGCTTGTGGCTCATTGTTGACTGTTCGCATTGCTCAGTCAGCGGTCAGCGATCGGATTGCGCACACGTACAAATCATAAACAAATTGTCAACACAAACAATAATAAAACGCAACTATTTCTTCAAGTGTTTGTCTTTTGGCCAATTGTGAAATTTACCAGCCATAATCACGCTGGAAATTCAGCTTGAATCTGTTCGTGCACACCACTGTCCAAATAAACAGTGATCGCAGTTGTTTTTAACTTGGCATTAGTCGAAGAATAAAGTTGATACACCAAAAGATATAAATAAAAATGCCTGCGATGCGGTTCCAATGGCGATGCGGCTTAAAACTGCAGCATGGCAGCAAGAAGACTATTGTGGTAGGTGTGAAATGTGTGAACTGTTCGGTGTTAACTAATGATACTCTGTTCGATACACTCTCCAAAAAACATGACTTATTTTAGGAGACTCTTTAAAATAGTTAATTTCTATCAAGTTTGCTCCTTCATTAAACTAGTAGTTCGGAATACAAAATAGTATCTTTCAAAATCATTAAAATTCAGATATTTTTAGAGTAATTAAAGCATTTTCTCTGAGTGCACACATTGATTTATTGCTTAAGCGCCTGTAATCCTTTATATTTAAAGCTTTAAGCTCTCGCTCTCTCTCTCTCACTTTCATCTCTCTCTCTCTCGGCTCACCGCTCTCACTAGTTTTGTGGCTCCAAGGATGCTGTCGCTTTGTGTTGGTTGTATTTGTGGGTTCAGCAACAGTTTGTTTTGCGCCCTCGCGCCACACACAAGGCACAAGCTCGGACTACGCGCTCGCTCTGCCTCCACCCCCTCCCCACAAACGCCCGCGCGTCCTTGTTTTTGTTTTTTTTGTTGTTGGTATTTGAATTGCTGTCAACTTTTAGGCGAAACGCAAAAGTCGAGCGTGGTAAATAATCCAGCCAGCAATTGCGTGAGCTCAGCTGGCCATGACTTCATCGGGCCACACACAAAAAACAGCAAAATAAAAAAAAAACATGTGCCACATATGGTGTTCAGTTACAAATCCTCATATCCTCCCTAAAAATACAACACTTATTGCGATGTGTGAAGTAGTTGCAGCTGCTGGCTGCTTGGCAGTGCCAGCAACTTTTGCCAGTCCGCCATAATTAATAAATTCAATTTAGTTTCGAAATTATTCATAGTTCTTGGCTCGGTTTGCACGCGCCGCCCAAACAGATGCCAGACGGCGTCGCTTTTAATATTCACTCAGCGTTTCTGTGTGTGTATGATGATATGGGTTCGCTTCTATTATGCTCCGCGTTCAATTACATATGCCGGCACTGTCTGCACTTTGGGATTTTTGTCTGACGTCTCCTACATATATATGTATATAGATATATATTCAATTAATTTATACGCGGCACGTTTCGCATTTCTTTTGCGCTGTTGCGTCATTAAAATTAATTAGGCCGTACCCCAATCCCATCTCTAATAATCTTGACTCAGTTAATTCAGTTATTGATATCGTATCTATTTGGCATTTTGCAGGAGGGTCCACATTCCACATTGCCCGAGGATGAGTTCTTTGATGCGGTCGAGACGGGCCTGGAGAAAATCGAGGAGGATATGCAGATCCGCTTCAAGTTGAGACTGCAATCGCAAATCTCACAGACGCTGGTAAATGTGCCGCACGAGGCCGTTGCCGAGGGCGAGGAGGCACGCGAGGAATTCGGCACAGGGGCCGAGGCCAAAACTCATGCACTCTGGCCGGAGGTAAACATGGATATAGCTGACTCAATTTCGAAATGTGGTTAATTAAATTATACAAAAATAAATGCATATTTTTTTGTAGATTGATCGCGTGTGCAAGGAACAGCTGCACTATGCACGCGAGGGCGTCGGCCAGGATGGCAATGGCTGGCAAATTTTTGCCGATGAGGGTGAAATCAAAATGTACAAACGCGAGGAGGAGGTCAATGGCATGGTCATGGATCCCCTGAAAGCCTATCACTCCGTCAAGGGCGTCACAGCGCGCGAAATGTGCCATTATTTTTTTATGCCCGAGTTCCGCAACGATTGGGAGAGTAAGTTGTGGATTTTATGTATATATAAATAATTTGAATACTTTAAAGATACATATATTAATTCATCACTTAATTTTTTGCTTTTAAAAAGTCTTCAAGCTTTTGAGCAAACTTTGTACGCACAACACAAGAATGGGGCGAGTGAGTGTGTATTTTGTATATACAAAGAATACCATTCGCTCAAAATTAGAAATATTTATAAGTTGAAAAAGTTCAGTAAAGCTTATTTTCATTTACCCGACTCATTGAATATGCATTTCTTCTACTTGTCGTAGATATTTTAAATTATCTCAACTTCAACTTACTTACTTACTTGAGCAATCACTATACTTGAGACACACTATAACTACAACTTGTTTGTCTTGTTTTAGCAACGCTGGAGGACTGCACAATATTGGAGAAAATTTCAGCGGACACATTGCTATTTCTGCAGACACATAAACGCATTTGGCCTGCGAGTCAGCGTGATGCACAATTTTGGTCGCATATGCGCAAAATCAATGATGGCCTCGATCCGGACACACGGGACATGTGGGTGGTGTGCAACAACTCAACGGAGTATGCCAAACAAGATGTGAGTTACAAATATTATATATATATGTATAATCTCAACTTGCTTCTTTCACTAGTCGAAGAATGGCAAATGCGTGCGCATCTTTCTGACAGTGATACTCGCCTGCCAAACACTGCTGCCCGATGATTATGTCAAGGGTCAGCCACTGAATCGCGATGATCTAACCTGCAAAGTAACCTACTGCTCTGTGGGTGCGTATATAATCTAATCTACAGCTAGCTAGTGTATCACATATATTCATATGTCATCTTTTGATCTCTCTCTTTTAGTAAATCCTGGGGGCTGGGCTCCGGCGAGCGCCTTACGCGCTGTTTACAAGCGTGAATATCCCAAGTTCTTGAAACGCTTCACCGGCTATGTGATAGACCAGTGCAAGGATAAACCGATTATGTTCTGATATTTGCCATAAGCAACAAAGCAATCAAAACCAATCAAAACAAAAAAAAACAAAAAAAAAAAACAACCAACAAAAATGTTAATCGTAAAAGAATGTTTATAATTAGTTTAACGTTTAATTCGTAAGATGCCGTTTGACTTACAAAGTGGCTTTTTCACACTTAAAGCCTTTTTTATACACCATTTAAACTTAACTGCGAAAGCGCATCTCCCAAAAAGAAAAACCTCCTTAATAATACTACAACTACTCTGTAAATGTGCTTTAAGTGAAATGTTAATATTTTTTGTTCATTTTATAATCCAAGTAAAATTGCTGTTTAGCCTTAAGTTATTGTTAAGTGAATGAGAAGAAGAGAACACACAATCAATGTATAGCGCTCAGCTTCTTTTTTTTTAGAATTTCTATACCGTTGTGTTTATACAACATTAATAATTAATGTCTAATGTCTACAAGCTATTGTGAAATGCTTTAATTGCAATCATTGCAAAGAATTTGAAATCAGTCTGTATATGTTAATAAGCTCGGTTCCAACGCCTGAATCTACTTAATATGCCTTTGTTTTTTTTTTTTAATCCGCTATGTCGAATGTAAATAAATGCGATCTATTGTTATCTTTGAACTGCAACAAAAAAATAAAAACTCAAGTGTTTGTTTTTGGCTTTCATCATAATATCATGTCATGTATTTAGAGCACAATTTTTTTTATTTATTTTTGTTTTTAATTATACATTGAACAAATGTACATCAACTGTGCGATTTTTCTTTATAAGTATTTTCCATTTCATTTTTGTGTAATTTTACAATTTCTTCTCAAATTTTTACAACCAAGTATTTTTATTAGAATTTTTAAATGCCTAAATCTGTTTTTATGGTGCAGTCTGAATTATTGCATTGCCAGAAAATGTTACTCCATAGATTGTTAGGTAGTTATATATTAGTTCTTGATAGATCATGGTTTTATATGACTAGAGATGTGTGTGTGTGTGTTTTTTCTTATCTGTGAGCTACAACGTTGTGTGTGTTTTTAAGTTTGCTCTGTTTGGTATTATATAATGTATTTTGTTGCTATCATATTGTCATGTAAATTGGTTGGTTTGTAGTTTGTTTTTTGTTTTTCTTTTGGCTATTGTAAAATATAATCAGATATGCGCTAGTCTATATCATCCAGGAGCAGTATGTGTGTGTGTGAAAGCTATGGTTTATAATTTGGCAAACAAGAATCGGCGCTATATATGTCTTTATCTTTGTTTATCTTGAGCAGCTGCTTGATTTTTTATATGAAAATGCATGCTGGCTTACGACTTTGGCTTTCTAAATTTTCCACTAATATATATATATATATATATATATATATTATATATAAATGATTTGTATAATTTAATGTTATATACTTAGCTATGTACAACAGTTTCATAAACTATTAGATGCATGTGTTTATTTTTTATTTTATCGGTTTCATAAATTAATTTAATTCATTTAAATAACTAGCTAACATTTGTAAAGTATTATTCTTTCCATTTATTTTGGTTAACTTACGAACTGATTGGGGGAAAGAAACAATTAAACAAACAATCCAACAAAATGCTCTTTAATTTACTACAAATGTATGTGTATATGTGTATATAGGTATGAATGTACTTATGTTTTTATGTATTTTTGTATTTATGTGTTATTCACCGCTTAGCACAAAGGCCATATATTTATATATAGTTTCCATTCATGTATTATCGTTTCTTTCCTTTCAGATTTATGCTCTGCATTTTAAAGAGGTTTTATTCCGGTGACTACTCTAACTTTTTGTGTAGTTCTCTCAGCTGTGCAAAACATTTTAAACACGGCCTGCCGCAGTTTTTCTTTCTAGCTCGCGCTTTACATTAAATGCTTAACTTATGTCATAATATATTATTTGTATTTCTGTTGTTCGTTTTAACTTATTTTTTATGTAGCTTTTCAAGTCCAACTAAGCATAATCAGTGTGTAAATAAGTCTTATTGTTTATTTTCTTCTTTTTGTTTTGGTTTTATTGGGCAAATATTTGGTTATTTTTGCTTTCGTTGAAAATCAAAATACGCTCGAAAAGTTTTGCTGTTTTCACTTGTTGTAAATAGTTGTTATTACTTTCTCATTATTTTTTTTTTAACGGCATACATTTAAGTTTAATAAATTTAGTGATTTTTTCCATAATTATTTAATTAGTATGTAGCTCGTTTATTTTTATTCTTTTTATTATTAACAATATGTTGTTAAAGAAATGCAGAAGTAGTGTTTTTTTGTTATGTGCCAAGTCTGCCTTATATATGGGATACCATATTGATTTTTGGGTGGATTTTACAACAAATTTTACAATTTTTCATTCAACGCTTTTCGTTTTTCTCTTTTCTTTCCGTAACACATCTTTTTCGATATTCGTATTAATTTAAAAATTATTTAATTTATATATATGTGATTTTTTTGTTGTTTTTATGGTTTTTTTTTTGGTTTGTTTAGTATATATGTTTTAGACATTGATTTGGAAAGCTTCCCTCGTTAGTTTCTGATTGGCACGCATACGTGGCGACGTTTGTGTCTTGGACTTCTCATTGGCATCCGAGAAACGCGCTGGTGGATTTATGTGGTCCTGATAGTTTGGTGGATAGTTGGATATGCTAAACGTACAGGGTTCTAATTATGTTTATAGCGACCAATTCACATTGCTTGATTCACATGATTTTGCTTACCTAAATGTAGTCTCTTCATTGTGGCTCGAATAGCCACTGGAACTGCGTACGTGGCGTTTTCCACTAGTGCCCGGCTTGCCCGATTTTCGTGCCGCAAATGGTGGCTTCGATTTACGGGTCATGCTAGTTGGCGTCGTCTCCGACGAAGACGATGTCTCATCTTGAGTGTCTAAAATTGATTTAAAAATATGATAATAATACAAAAATATTCCTCTAAATTACGTAAGAGTGCACTCGGACAAAAAGATCTGTTCTTATGTTGCGTTCGATTATTATCGATCGATCTCTTGTAGCAAACAAGCTCTCTGAGAACTTCTCATGGAAAAATGCATTATTTTTTCACCGAGTGTTATATGATTAATTATTGGATTTACTTACCGCGTTGTGCGCGATATTTGGCCGAGTTAAGAGCGCGTGCAGACACATCGTTGTCGGACTCGGAGCCGAGTGTGTCATATTCTGTAATTGGTATGTGAAGAGTTAGGATTTTCCTAACTTCGGAATCTGTTGAACCTGGATTGTCCGATTCTAAAAAGTTTAATACGATGCGATGGTATTTTTTTTTTGTTGTTGATTTTTTTTTTTGTGAAGTTTTGAATGTGAATGTTAGTTGTTATTTGAAGTTGAGAATATAGTGAAATAGAAATAATAAAGTGGATTAAATTGAATGCGATATGATGTGAGCAGAAAACAAAACTAAGGAAAAGAAAGTGCAAATTTTGCTTAAAACTACATTACACTAAGGGGCGTCTCAAATGAAAATCATAATGATAACGATAATGACAAGGATTATGATATATATATGTGGGGTATATTAGCTACCTTGGCTCTCGGAGTGAGGATCGCGTAGGCGACCGACTTTTCGGCGCACCTTTGTATACTCCGGCTCTTTGGACTGTAAAAAAAGTAGTAGATTACATATATATTCTATCAAATTCATAGATCTTCATCTTCTGCTCACATGATAGCTCTCCGGCTTGACATCGTGATAGACAAAGGAGCCGCGCACGGAGTGATAAGGACCGCTGTAAACGTTGCCACTGTAGGAGCTCTCGCTATATGTCTGTTTGTTCAGTTGAAATGTGGCATAGGGACATATATCTTCGATATACTCATTGCCCTCCGCCTTGCCAAAGCTGCCCGAATCGTTCGAATTGGAGCCGCGTGGCGCCGAATTCGTTGGATTGCAACGTACGGCCAAATATTGCTGGTCTCGATTCTGTTTGTTCTGCAGATTGGCCAAAGAGGGGGACTCCGACATCGAGGAACTTGCCAAACGCGCCTGATTGGAAAGTTCTGTAAACAAGAAATGGGATTTTGAAATTAACATGAAATCCAACTTGAAACTGGGCTTCCAAATTCAAATCCAGAATTCAAACTACAACTCACAAGTCCCGTTACTTACTTCGCTTGCGCAGGAACAAAGCGGCTGCAATCAGCGCCAGGAGCATCAGCAGCGAGACGCAAATGGGCAGCAAAAGTTTGAAATTCGCATAAAAAGGCAGATCGCTCAAATGGGAAACGGGCGTCGAATGATCCGTATTATAAAGCACTGCAAGAGAGAAGTAAAGCATTTGTTTCTTTCAGTGTAGCACACAACATCTTGTACTCACCACCCTGTGCGGAGAGTGTGGTGAAGTTGTAAACAGCTGTTGTGGAGCCCGCATTGTTGTGAGCCGTAACCTTGAGCTGATATTTGGTGCCCGGCACCAGATCACTAACGGTATAAATACGCTCTGTGGGCGGTATATGATTGGAGACAACCACCCAAGTGGAACGGCCATAAACCCTCGATTCGATCATGAAATAGAGTATGCCGCAGCCACCATCGCCCCACGAGTCGAGCCAACAGGTGACACTCGTCGAGTTGTTCGTTATCATCTGGGAATGTTTGGGCTGCACCGGGGAATTGCCCTTCGTGTAGGAGTTGACAATGTCGCAGGGCAGGCCCGTTCCGATCTTATTGTACGCCGTAATATAGAGTTGATAGCGGGTGCCGCACCAGAGATTACTCAGCAGATGCGAGTTCGTTTTGGCATCCACCTGCAACTCCTCCCAGTCGCCATTGTCCCGCTTATAGTTGATGACATAGCCCAGGATGGGACTACCGCCATGACTATTGTCCAGCCACTCCAGATGCAGACTATCCGTATAGGTATTGACTACGGTTAGGTTGGGTGCCTCTGGTGGCACTTTCACCACAATATTGTAGACGATTTCGTCCTTGCCCCAAGTGTTCTCCACGCTGCACGTATAATTGCCCGCATCACTTGACTGACACTCTCGCAGATACAGGGTGCCATTCTTGGCAATTGTTTTCCTTGCACTCGTCTCCATATTGTGCCCGTCCTGTCGCCAAATGGTGACTGGAGCAGGTGCACCCACTTTGCGGCACGGCAACTCCAAATGCTCCTTCCACGGCGTGACAATGCGTTGACTGAATGAGACAATTCTCGCCGGCACCTTATTATTCGGTGGCACTGTCACCACCTGCGTCTTCTCGCCCTCGCCCATTTTCGTGGATGCAGTTAACCAGAATTGATAAGTGGCCGACTCCTGAGTTCGAACGGTCTCGTGCATCTCCACATAGGGGCCGAGCAGACGCTTGTGAGTGCCCTCCTCGCGACCACCCTCCAGCATGGACATGTAGAACGTGTAGCCAGTCTGTAGACGGAGCCGTTAATAGTTAACAGGTGAGTTTCAGATTGGAATTGCGATTGCGATTGGGATTGGGAGTGGGTTGGGGGACTACTTACGATGTCGCCATTGGGCAGATCGGGCGGCAGCCAAGAGATTATGATTTTCGTGCTCGAAGCCGGTATTGCCTTGATTGCTTGGGGCGCCGAACGCACTGTGGGAAAATCGTAGAAGCAAGTGGGAATATTTTAGTGAAAGATAGTCGACTAAGTAATACTCTG